TCCAGTCTGACTGTTGAGCAAAAAAAGCAGGGGGTGAGGAAGAGAAAATATATTGCTGGGTGTGGTGGAAAAGCTCTGTCTGCAGTTTATAAGTGTTTTAAGATTGAGTGCATGCGGTGTTATGTAGACTTAAACAGGTTAACCTGTGTCCAAGTGTGACATACATCTTGGGTTATACCAGAGGCAACTGATTTTAACCAAATTTTGCATGATTGTTCCTGAGATCAAGGAGTAGATTTGCATCCATGTTTGGATACAGTTGGACGCCATTTTGAATTAAGGTGGTGGGTTGAACTTATCCAAACGGCATTGATTTTAACCACAGATTTCAAGACTGTGCTGGGGGTGTTTTTTATTCCTTAAAATTCCCATGCAATGCTAAATGCAAAGCAGCTAGTAGTCAATATATTAGCAAAGCTCAAGATTAATTGGACGTGATCCAGGCAACTCACCACCTTCAAAGGCTACATACATCACAAGGTCAAGAGGATAATGGATTTATTTGAACATGCTCTTTCTAATTTCAGCAGTTCTATTCCATGCACAATTCAAGGAGCACAGATGAATTGAAAAACAGTTCTCCATCTTTCTTCGGGTACATAGGTTCTACAGAGTATTACTCACGTAGGATCTTTGAGGTTCTTTTCTCTTTTTTTACCAACTGCTGTATGTTTTCATGAATGGAGAATGGTCTGCTGCCCTCCTCCTGCCCCAGATTTATTTGTAAATTTGCATGCAGAGGAGGATGTTTTCAGAAGGGGGCAGCTTTCCCTGCACTCTCATTTCATGGAATTCTCTGTAACAGTTAATTTTTGTTGTCAGCAAAATGCAGGCTAAGCTACAGCAAATCCAGCATCACGGGGAACAGATGCTGCCTGCAAGATAAAGGTCTTTTGGCTAAAGAAATCCAACTCCAGTATGTGAGAAGAAACATTAATTATAGAGACCTCGGACCAGTTGCCCTTCTGCTGAGGAGTTGTTTCAGTTGGCTGTTTATTCCTGGATCAAAGAAGAGAAGCGGAATCCAGCTCTAGTGGTGCAGCTTGGATGGAATATCCCTGAAATTAAATCAAAGTGCCCAGTGAATTAGCATAGGCGCGACGGGAATATGCAGATCTGAATGAATTCGCCTTGCCAAGTCTGGACTTTGAGAGGGCTCTTGCAGAGCTAGATAGAACTGAGAGTTTCACATGCCATGTGAAAAGAAACCAGAGTTATGATTGTTCATAACTCTAAAGGCTCTGTCCCGACAGTCAAGAAAAACTAGAGATCCTTGTCTATGTTAATGTATTATTTTATGTTTACAAAGTATGCCAGCTTTCAGCAACCTGGTGCTATTCAGATGTTTTGGACTATAATTTCCATTTGCCCCAGCCCACTTTAGTTTTAGTCCAAAACTGCTGGAAAACATGAGGATGGACAAGGCTGGGATACACAATATAACATCTCCTTGCATCTTATCATATTATGTTGTGTGCATTTTTAAACTCTCTAAAGCTGCATACACACTATGCCTTTTAAAGCACATTTGAAACAACCCTTTTCCTCCAAAAATTCCGGGCAGCTTTTTTCCACCACTAATTGCAGCAGGGGGACCAAATCCCATCAAGATCAGGGCTGGGGAGGGAAGGAAGCACCTCAGATTACATTTTAAAATAAGCCATTGAATTAATGTACATGGAATTAATGTGCCCTCAGCTGCACTAATAACCAGAGCAAAAGCAAAGTGAAAACATCCCTCCCAGACCCAAAATGTAACATGATGAATCTTTAAGGGAATCTGGATGTTAGCTGAACCAGCAAAGTGTTTGTGTTGTGGATGCTGGTTGTTGAGATTGCCAAACTTTAATTAGGAAGCAGTTATAATTCTAAGTACCCACAATGCTGATGGATTATTCCTGGGGCTCTGGCTGGTGATTTAAGACAATCCTGTTTATGATTTGCCTTTTTCATTTTGCATCCAGGAGAAGCAGAGCTAAGCAGACAACAGACACAATAACCTCACGTTGTTCCCCAAAGTGCCCACATAAAAGTATATTGCTTGGACTTTATTAAGGAGGAAGTGCAGAGAGCATAGTCCAGTTTTATTTGAACTGCTCTTTGATAAGCCCCTGGGAGGACTGTCAGACTGTGAATTCAAACCAAATCATGTTCGCTAGCAGGCGGACAGAGCCTGCCCTGCCTTTACAGTTTGGTAGCGTTCGGAGCTAAATTACCTCTAGATTCTAGATATTTCTTAGGTGTTGCAAACTCCAAGTCACTTAAGTCTAGCAACTTAGCTGAATTTTAGTAGAAACAGAGACATCACCTTGCCAACAAAGGTCTGTATAGTAAAAGCTATGGTTTTCCCAGTAGTGATGTATGGAAGTGAGAGCTGGACCATAAAGAAGGCTGATCGCCGAAGAATTGATGCTTTTGAATTATGGTGCTGGAGGAGACTCTTGAGAGCCCCATGGACTGCAAGAAGATCAAACCTCTCCATTTTGAAGGAAATCAGCCCTGAGTGCTCACTGGAAGGACAGATCCTGAAGCTGAGGCTCCAATACTTTGGCCACCTCATGAGAAGAGAAGACTCCCTGGAAAAGACCCTGATTTTGGGAAAGATGGAGGGCACAAGGAGAAGGGGACGACAGAGGACAAGATGGTTGGACAGTGTTCTCGAAGCTACCAGCATGAGTTTGACCAAACTGCGGGAGGCAGTGGAAGACAGGAGTGCCTGGCGTGCTGTGGTCCATGGGGTCACGAAGAGTCGGACATGACTAAACAACTAAACAACAACAACAATTCCTCCCCCTCCCCACTTCTTAGGAATCCTGGGGGTTCTATTCCCTCTCATTCCCTTCCCAACTCCCAAAACTCAGGCATACCCTGACTCACCAAAAACGTTAGCAATCAAGGAGAAGGGGGAGAGGAGAAATTCAATTCAGTTCACATTTAACGGCCAAATTCGCACTTCCCGAAATGATACACAGCCATCCTGCAAACTTCCCATTTCTCCAACCTTTGCAGTGCAGTTCTCCAGCCAAGTAATGTGTCCCAGAATGGGTATACTAGGGTGAGAGAGAACAGCCTTTACCAAAGGTGTCATGGGCTTTGAAGACGCTAGAACTCAGGACGCAAGGGAGAAACGAGCTAAGAGGAAGGCACCCTTGGCAAATCTACACCGTGATCAACTCCCGCCCGGAAACCAATGTCCCCACTGTGGGAGGATGTGTGGATTCAGAATTGGCCTCCACAGTCACATACGGACTCATTGTTAAAAGCGTGTTTATGGAAGATGATCTTACTCAGCTACGAATGATTGCCAAAGAAGAAGATATCAGAGTGAAGTGTGCATAAGCATGCAAATATTAGCAAAGAGAACATACAAAAAATGCATTATATAGAGCTTTCGGGGGGGGAGTTGTTGAGGTTGTTTGGCAAAAGTGACGTTTTTGAGCTATTTTAAAGAGAAATCAGCAAAAATGCCACTGCCAACAAGGGTTGCCATACGTCCGGATTTTCCTAGACATTTTGCTGCTTTCTGCCCAGGCACTGCTTCCGACTATAGTATGTCCAGACATATGGCAACCCTACATTATATTAAGGAATATTATTTAGCAACATTTGCTAAATTTGTGTATATTTGGCCAAATGTCCACCTTATGAGAAATTTGCTTTGATGAATTTTCATGAGGACAGTGCAGACGGATTTGGAAATGTGGGTAATTGAATTTAAGACTGGGAAAGTGAGGCACTGAAATTGACAGATTCATGCATCCCAGGCTTGAACCGCAAGGCAAAACTAGAGGCGACAAAGACACAGCCTCAGAGCTTGCATTTCATTAAGGTGCATGGAGTGAAAAAAGGTGAAAGCCAGCATTGCATAGTGGCTAGAGCCTTGGGCTGGTACTGGGTTCAGATCCCCCCTCAGCCATGAAGCTGTTTGGGTGACAGTAGGCCAGTCACGTTCTCCCTGCCCAACCTACTTTGTTCGTAAAGGTTTCCAGAGTGGTTCTGTTACTCTGCTGCTGAAGAATTTAAAAAAAATAGCTTGTGGTGCCTACACTAACAAATTTGTTATGGTATAAACTTTCATTGACTTATGCATGTAACGAAATCGACCGTAGTCTACAGAAACTTGTGTCATCATAATAAATATGTACCCTTTTTACGGTGCTGCAAGACCTTGTTTGTTGTTTTATTTTGCAAGGCTGCAGCGATAGGGACGCGGGTGGCGCTGTGGGTAAAAGCCTCAGTGCCTAGGGCTTGCCGATCGAAAGGTTGGCGGTTCGAATCCCCGTGGCGGGGTGCGCTCCCATTGCTCGGTCCCAGCGCCTGCCAACCTAACAGTTCGAAAGCACCCCCAGGTGCAAGTAGATAAATAGGGACCGCTTACTGGCGGGAAGGTAAACGGCGTTTCCGTGTGCTGCGCTGGCTTGCCAGATGCAGCTTTGTCACGCTGGCCACGTGACCTGGAAGTGTCTCCGGACAGCGCTGGCCCCCGGCCTCTTAAGTGAGATGGGCGCACAACCCTAGAGTCTGTCAAGACTGGCCCGTACGGGCAGGGGTACCTTTACCTTTACCTAGCGATGAAAAAGTGAGGGTGGAGGGGGGAGTCAGATGTGCTGTCATGAGCACTGTAGATATAATTTTTAAAAATGCATTGGGAAATCATCCGTTGGTGACTGTACTGTGTATGCAAATGTTCAGGCTTGGTGATGTTCAATTCTTCCTCCCTTGACTGCTCACCTGAAAGACTTCTGCCCTCTCATCAACAGGTAGTCATCAGCATTACTTTGCATTTTTATTTGCCGTTTTAAACAGGTGGCCTGGGATGAACATCCACCAAGATCAGCTGGAGGCATTAGGTATTCAGAGTTTGCAGTTTTGGAAACAGAAAAAACGAAAACAGAAGATGCTGTGAAGCTGAAAGATGTTTTTCTCTCATGCACACACTTTTTTCTTCCTCTTTTAAATCCTGCTTTCCTTGTTTTCCTTTTGATTTATCCTCTCCCTAGTCAGACACAGAGTTTTGGGATAAGATGCAAGCAGAGTGGGAAGAAATGGCTCGCAGAAACTGGATCTCCGACAGCCAAGAAGCACAAGGCCAAGCAGCCGTCTCCATTAATGAGAAGGTAACGCTGATGTTGTGGAGAGAGAAGGCTTGTAGGGCCGCTGGGTTGCCAGGGGCAACCATGGAAGCTTGACTAGGCCAAAGCCCTTGCCAGTAGCTAGAGGAGGGTGAAATAATTTGGCAAATGCCTTTTTAATTTGTTCCAATGGCAGCTTTTAAGCACCAAACCAGGGATGCAGGTTACCGCCCGCCACATGGCAGTGGTCCCAAGGTGCCTGCTGCCTCTCTCCTCTGTGGCATTTAGTAAGGCAAAGTGAGGGAACTCACAAGACAACGAGGAGAGGAGTTGCAGGGCCTTATTCAAAGAGTACGTAATGTGAGCATGAAAAGGATTGAAAAGAGGACGAGTGAGTCCATCAAGTTCTGCTGCTGGAAATAACTGCTGTGGCTTGGGCTGATGGGAGTTGTGTTTCCAAACATCTGGAGGGCTTCGCCAAGTTGGCGAAGGCTTTATTATATTATTTAATCAACTTTTTATGCTCATGTACTGCAAAAAAAAAGACAGGACGGAGGTTCATTCAAGTGGTCTGTGGGTTTGTGGTTGAACATGGGAGATGACCTATCACCGCATTAAATATTTGTATTGATTCTTATTTGTATTAGAAAGGAAAGCAGGAATTAAAATGCAATTAAAAATTGCACCCCATTTCGCACAGGCATTTATTACCATTGCTTTAATAGGCAGAAAGTTGTCCACCAAGACCTTCAGCTGTTTTCAAGTGGTGCAGGAAATGAGCAATTTAATTCTAGGCTGTTTTCACCTTTTGAGGTACTGTGCCTCAATGTCACCACACTCATTCTCTCTCTTAGGGCTATTATTTTCATACAGAGAACCCCTTCAAAGACTGGCCTGGCGCTTTTGAGGAAGGCCTCAAGAAGCTGAGGGAGGGGGACTTGCCCCTGGCCATCTTATACCTGGAAGCCGCTATTCTCCAAGATCCTCACGACTCCGAGGTATCTGCTCTGGTTAATATTCTGAAACTGGAATGTGTTGACTTGAACTTATTTGCTAATACAGTGGCACCTCGGGTTAAGTACTTAATTCGTTCCGGAGGTCCGTTCTTAACCTGAAAATGTTCTTAACCTGAAGCCCCACTTTAGCTAATGGGGCCTCCCGCTGCCGCTGCGCCACCGGAGCACGATTTCTGTTCTTATCCTGAAGCAAAGTTCTTAACCTGAAGCACTATTTCTGGGTTAGCGGAGTCTGTAACCTGAAGCGTATGTAACCTGAAGCATATGTAACCCGAGGTACCACTGTAATGGAAATAAAGCCTTCAGCGGTCATGTTTAATATCATGATCGACATGATGTCTCCAGTACTATCAAGCTGGATGGGGATGCACCATTCTATTAAAAGGGGAAAGTTTACAAATTAAGGATAAACCCACATTTCACATCCAGTACAAAGCCTGCAATAGATATTCGGTTGCATCAGATGTTGTAATCGGCATAATTTGACCAGGAGTCATGTGAAGACTGGATGAGAGCCAACAAACTAAAGCTCAATCCAGATAAGACTGGATGGGAGGTTGCCTGCTCTTGTTGGCATTGCACTCCCTCTGAAGGAGAGGGTACACAGCTTAGGGGTACTCCTGGATCCTTTGCTGTCACTTGCGGCTCAGGTGGCCTCAGTGGCCCAGAGTGCCTTCTATCGGTTTTGGCTGGTGGCCCAGCTGTGCCCCTATCTGGACAGGGATAGCCTAACTTCTCTTGTCTATGGTTTTGTTTTTGTTTCTTGTGTATTTTGTGTTGCGAACTGCCTAAGCTGTGATATTTGGATGAAGGGCAGTATACAAATTTAGTAAATTTAAATAATATGCATTGGCATTCTGCCAGCTTTTGAAGACGCGCCTTTGAGCTCTCAACTGGTCTCCTGTTTTAATTTTCTGCTGTTTTAAGGGGACTGCTTTACTAAAAGTTTCACTTGCGAGTGTTTATACTTTAATGTTTCTGTAACTAATTTTATACTTTGTAAACAGTTTAAAAGCCTAGTTGGGCAATAAGTGGTGTCTTCTTCTTGTTGTTGTTGTTGTTACAGTGGTACCTTAGTTCTCAAACTTAATCCATTCCGGGAGTCCGTTTAACCCCCGAAACAATTCAAAAACCAAGACGCAGCTTCCGATTGGCTGCAGGAACTTCCTGCACTCAAGTGGAAGCCGCGTTGGACGTTCGGCTTCTGAAAAATGTTCGCAAACCAAAACACTTCCAGGTTTGCGGCGACCGGGAGCCGATTTGTTCAACAACTAAGCCATTTGGGAACCAAGCTACCACTAAAAATAATAATACCTTTATTGTCATTGTACATCCTGTGTACAATGAAACTAAACCACTGTGTTGTTGTTGTTGTTGTTGTTGTTGTTGTTGTTAATTCCTATGTCACACTTGGGTATTTCTGGTTTGTTCCCTGGCCACTAGCTGTATGGATGTCTGTAAGGCACAATGGAAATCCCCCAAATTATATTTTCAACTCTTGCTTGCATTTCTTTGGTTTTTCTGGACTGGACTTTTGCAAAATGACTTGCAAAGCAACTTTTTATTATTATTATTATTCATTCTTTATTAAATTTGTATACCACCCTTCATCCTAAGATCACAGGGTGGTTCACAACATAAAAATACGAAATAAGAACACAAAATACATAAGAAAACAAACACACACCAATAACCCTCCTCCCACAAACCCAGTTAAAGGGGCATAGAATCTTAATCAGCCAGAGGCCTGGTTAAAGAGAAACAGTTTCACCTGGTCCCTAAAGATATGCAATGAAGGTGCCAGGTGAGCCTCCCTGGAGAGAGCATTCCACAAATGAGGAGCCACTGCAGAAAAGGTCCGTTCTCATGTTGTCACCCTCTGGACCTCTCATGAAGGAAGCACATAAAGAAGGACCTCAGATCATAATTGCAGGGTCAGGGCAGCTCATATTTGGAGAGGAAGTCCTTGAGGTATTGCAGTCCTTTCAAAACACAGCTGTGCAGTAATCTTACCATTTTTATGTTGCAGGCCTGGCAGTACCTTGGGACAACACAAGCTGAGAATGAAAATGAGCAGGGAGCAATTGTTGCACTCCAAAGGTAAATGGTGTTAATTGCTGCATAGAGAATCTCGGCTATAATTTTTAAAAATAATAATGATGAAGAAGGCAAGTTTCTAGCCCTTAAGGCAAGGAAGACAGACTTTAAATGCCTGGTCCTTGCCCCTCCCCATCAAAACAAATTATACAAAGTATATGTAAGTTTGCTTTAATTTGCATGGGTGTGAAACGGTGGTGTGCCAAATTTGAGCCACCTTGGTGCAGAAACAATTATTATTAATATTTAAGCTCACACAGCGCAGAGGCTTATGTATCCTTAAAGGGATCTGCAAAACTTAATCCGGTATGTTATTGAATCAAGCAAATGGGAACGTGGGAAAAGGCAATGTTGTCGGGCAAACACAACCAAGGAACTCTGCAAACAGGAGGCCTGCTTGGTATTCCTGGCACTTGCGCACTTTCTAAAAGTTTATCTCTTCATTAGAAGTGCTCCTTAATTGAGCTAAACTCAATCCGACAGCCGCATGTTAAGTATATGGTGATCGTTTCTGCTGCTGCCTCTGTTCCAGTACTAGGCAGATAACGGTCGTGCCACATTTTCTAATGCTAGTTATTATTCTCTGCTTGTGCTCAGAAAGTTAGCTGCGTCATATTCATTTTCTCCTCACACTGAGTATATACTCTCCAAACCTAATGATATTAGCTGTGTTAATAAGCTAATCCGTTTATCTAACAATGCTTCCATTACTGTAGCCCTTTCACAGGTTCCCTCCCGGCATACAATAAATAAACTGGAGGGGTGGGAAGCAACCATGCGCATGAATCCTGCACCCCAACACCACCAAAAAAACCTTCCATTTACGAAGGGGGCTTGTAGGCTTGTGCAGCACTGGATACAAGCCTGCTGAGTTTGTAATGTTTTGTATTCTATCCAGTGCTTTTTTGCTACAAAAAGAGGTGCCGGAATTCACCATGAACACCTCCCTTGTTCATATATATATTATTAAGTTTCAACGATTTTTAACATATACAGTCAAAACACAATTTCGTCTTTTTTTCTTATTTTTGTTGACTTCTTTTGTCGCCTACCTGAGAGGTTCCAGAACTGAGTTCAAGCAAATTCTGGCCGGGGGGGGGGCAGCCCTGGTTCTATCTTATTTTACTGTATACCACTTTTGGTTGTGAAGTGGTTTATAAATCTACAAACAAAGCCATCCCACCATCCATCCCAGGCTGGATAGTCATATCATTTGACCTTAAGATGCCCAATTTGGACCCCAATGAATTGCTAGGAGGCATCTTCTGATTCCAGTGGTGATACTGAGGTCAGCAGTTGTTATGTGAACTTCACTGCCTGCCAGTAGAGGTGGTTTTTAGGAACCAAGGATGGTTAAGCCAAGTCTGAAATCCTATGTATACTTGACAGGGCAATCCTAATTATGTCTACTCAGTCCTGCTGAAGTCCATGCAGCACCTTACTCCCAGCTAAGTGGGGTTAGGATTGCAGCCAAAGTCTGCAGACTGGGACCTTGCTGCCAAGTAAACCTGCATTGTTAATTATAAACAAACCAAAAAATAATAAATGTCTAAATATTTTGTTAGCTTTGTTGGCTCAGCTTAAGTGTTGCATTCAAATGAGCAGGCCTTATGCCAACGCATCGAGAGGGATCTAACTAATACGGGTTTCCGCTATTCTCTTCAGGTGCTTAGAGCTCCAGCCAAACAACTTGAAAGCCTTGATGGCCTTGGCTGTGAGCTTTACAAACACCAGCCACCAGCAGGAGGCTTATGAAGCGCTAAGAAACTGGATCAAGCAGAATCCTAAATACAAGTACATCGTCAGGAGTAAAAAAGGATCCCCGGCACTTACCAGGAGAATGTCCAAGGCAGCAGAAGAAAGGTAACAGAAGGTCTGATAAATGGGCGTTACGAAATAGATTTGGGAGTTCTTAAAAGCAGTCACAGTAATTTAAGAAAGTCCTGCAGATGTTACAGCCCTGTTTACGGAAGCTTTTAATATTTGATGGGTTATTGTATTTTAATATTTTGTTGGAAGCCACCCAGAGTGGCTGGGGAAACCCAGCCAGATAGTTGGGGCATAAATAAAAAATTACATTATATATATATATATATATATATATATATATATATATATATATACGCAGGTTTTGGTGTCCTCGGGTGTCTTCCCGTGTAAAAGTTGGGGTGTCTAGGCGACGTTTCGACGAGGTCTCACTCGTCATCTTCAGGCTGGTGCTTTCGGCTTCTTGTTACTGGAACAGAGCAGGATCTCAGTGTTTGAGTTCCTATAAATACTGTTGAGGGGGTGTGGCGTATAGCCTCCAATGTTCTGGGCAGAGAGGAAGTTCCCAGGCTAGTGTGCCTTTTCTTCTTTTGTTCCTTAATTACTTGAGGGATATCTTGAGTGATTTCTTGAGTGATATCCTGAGTACCACTTAGGTGGGTCATTAGGTGTGGATTAGTTGCTAAAGCCTTCGTGTCTTGACCTCTTGAACTTTGTGAAGAGTTTTTCTTCACAAAGCTAATGCAAAAAGAAACACCCCCCAAAAACCAAGACACAGAAGAAAACAATGGCATGGCCCTCCTTCCTTATATCAAGGGCACTACAGATAAAATTAGCAAAATCCTCCATAAACACAATATCAAAACAGCCTTTTGCACCAACCAAAAAATAGCCAATATCCTCAGAAACCCCAAGGATAAAATCCAGTTAGAAAACCAAGGGGTCTATGAAATACCCTGCAAAGTCTGCCCAGCCACGTACATTGGACAAACAAACAGACGAATAAATGCACGTATCGCAGAACACAAGAATGCCGTCAAAAAAGAAGAAAAAACTTCCTCTCTTTTCCAACACATGAAAGAAACAGGACACGAAATTAATTTTGCAGATTCCAAATTGCTCTCTAACATGGAACATCACCACAAGAGAATAATCATGGAAGCCATCGAGATAGAGAAACACCCTCACAACATGAACAAGCGTGACGACACATCCCGCCTGCCAGACATCTGGAAATTAGCCCTCCCCACAAAAACCGACACCAGATCCAGAGGCACACAGAACGCCATCACCAATCAACCACACCAGACCCAAACCCAGACCCTCTCCACAGATAAATTACAGACACCATCCAGTAGCCAAACCATGGTGGCACCTCCGGATGCTGCACCCCCCTGCAATCCCTACACAGATCTGGCTGGCACAGGACACAAACCACAGCTCGCCCCTATACACGAAGCCAAGCCAGAGCACAACTAAATGCAATACAGCCATCTTCTCAGAAAAACTCTTCACAAAGTTCAAGAGGTCAAGACACGAAGGCTTAGCAATTTACACCTAATGACCCCTAATGGTACTCAGGATATCACTAAGAAATCACTCAAGATATCCTCAGTATTAAGGAACAAAGAAAAAGGACACTAGCCTTCTCCTACCGCCAGAACATGGGCTATACCCACGCCCTCACAGTATTTATAGAACTCAACACTGAGATCCTGCTCTTTCAGTAACAAGAGCGAAAGCACCGCTGAAATGACGAGTGAGACCTCGTCAAACGTGCAGACACCCAACTTCAGGAGACACCCGGACCAAAACCTGCATTCCTGTACCGTGAAATCTACGAAGCATTTTTATATATATTTATATTATATATATATTTATTATTTATTTATTCTGAACTCAACCTCCCATCATCCTAGGACCAGGCTTTCTCAGCTTTGGGTTCCCAGGTGTTGTTGGACTACAACTAAATGGCTCAGGACTGCAATACCCCAAGGATTGCCTCTCCCCCTATGAACCTACCCAGACCCCGAGACCATCCTCTGAGGCCCTTCTTCATGTGCCTCCTCCACAAGAGGTCTGGAGGCTGGCAACACAAGAACGGGCCTTTTCCTGCGGTGGCTCCCTTCTTGTGGAATGATCTCCCTAGGGAGGTTTGGCTGGTGCCGTGCAAAAACGTTCCTTTTCAACCGGCCTTGGGCTGATTGACATCCCTTTTGAACATGTTGTGGGAGGGGGGATTTGGGGTTTGTTGTTATTCTTATTTTTACTATGCATTTTGTGGGGTTTTTAATGTTGTGAACTGTCCTGAGATCTGCAGGTGATGGGAGGCATACTAATAATACTAAAGACTACTGTAATTCGCTCTACGCGGGGCTGCCCTTGAAGCTGTCCCAGAAACTCCAGCGGGTGCAGAATGCAGCAGCGAGGCTCTTCAAGGGGTCCCTGCCATGGGAGCATAGTCACCCAGTGCTTTTCCAGCTGCACTGGCTCCCGGTGGAGTACAGGGTTAAATTTAAGGTGCTGCTTTTGACCTTTAATGCCCTTCACGGCCTAGGACCCTCGTATCTATGGGACCGCCTCTCCCGGTATGCCCCACGGAGAGCCTCAAGGTCCATAAATAGCAACACCCTAGTGGTCCCGGGCCCTAAGGAAGTTAGATTAGCCTCAACCAGAGCCAGGGCCTTTTCAACACTGGCTCTGGCCTGGTGGAACGCTCTGCCTGTTCAGTCTGACATATGAGAATTTGTAGAACTGGTTTCAGCAGGGTTCACACACACCCAAGGCAAAAAGAATGGACCCATATGATGGCCGTTTCACAAATCCTACACTGCTCTTAAAATGTTACACTTGCCTTTGTCTTGTGCTGCTCTCTTATTCCAGTTCACTGCTGGAAGAGGTGAAGGAGCTATACCTGGAGGGAGCCCATCAGAACGGGGAGATGATAGACCCGGACTTACAAACAGGACTCGGCGTGCTCTTCCACCTGAACGGAGAATTCAACAGAGCAATAGATGCATTCAGCGCTGCCCTCACAGTTCGGCCTGAGGTAAGTTTTACACTTCTGCATTAACAGGCTTTTGACACTCTCCTCTTCTGTCTATTCTTAAAGTCGGGCCTGCATTAATGAGCTGTCACTCCTGCCATTAATACTCTGGTGCCTGAAATAGAAATATTAATTGCAAGGAGAGAGTCCCATTTTCAAGAAGTTCTATTCCTGCCCCATTTCTGACTGGCCTGCAAATGAATCAAAGTTGTTTTATAGGGAGTTATCCACAGCTACGAGACATGTTCTCGTGTTCTATGCCAGTTAATGGAAAAGTCAATTAATTCCAATTCCACCCCCTTCACCCTCCATTCCACCAGTCATTAATTTGAGGCTGCTGGCAAAAAGAAAGAGAAAGCTATATGTGCAAGGATTGCACCAATAATAGAAAGCTGCCGTTGTGTTTGCCAGGATTATTCATTGTGGAACCGTCTCGGTGCAACCTTAGCAAATGGAGATCGGAGTGAGGAAGCCGTAGAAGCTTACACGAGAGCACTGGAAATCCAGCCTGGCTTCATCAGGTCCAGGTACAATTTAGGAATAAGCTGCATCAACCTTGGAGCATACAGGTGAGAACAGTTCAGCCACCCTTTACATGGAACAGCCGGTTCTTCCCATAATTCTATAGTGTGACCATGAAATGGAGTCTAGAATGGGGCCATGCAAACTGGAGAAGGGTTGATTACCAATGGCCTGAGTTGCTAGCTGACCAGAAGCAGAGAAGGGACCACCCGAGACCATATACTGTTAACATTTGCCACTTGGGGACACAAGTTGCTTTATTTCCACCTACACCAGGGGTGGGGACCCTCCAGATGTTGTTGAATGGACGCCTCTCCCATCAGCCTCAGTCAGCATAGTCAGGAGTGATGGGAGCTGTCTTCAAGCAACTTCTGGAGGTCCACAGCTTCCACATCCTGGTCCTACAGCCCACCTGCCATGCTGATGACCGTTTTGCTAGCTTATGGCTCAAAGACTGATGTCTAAAGAAGGAATGGGGGTGTGTTCTTAGCCCTTTTCTGAATACTTGTAAAAATGAGTTCAAATGAGCCTGGTTCCAGAGGTTTGGGAGATTGCTTCTCTTCCCCACCTGGCTATGGTCCCCTATATTTGAGTAGAGCTTCTCCAGCAGATCTCCAGTGCAAATTGTGGCTCATGTAAAGAGGGACACCCTGTTAGATAACCCAAAGAGAGCAGGTTTTTCCTGTGTGCTGATTAGAAACACAGGGATCACTGCTTCCAGACACAACCCATGAAGGCCACGGGAAATGGGAGCTCATGCATCACCCTCAGAAAAAATGGCCTTTCCCCCAAGCAGTTTCAAGGGGCTTCTCATTTTCATAACATGCCATTGCCCTGCAAAGCTGGTAGGCCAGAGTGTACTAGGCCTCCCTTGGTGGAAGAAAGGTGTCTTAAATTCAAAATGCATGGGATGGCAATTTCTTAGATTTATTGGCAGTGGCAGGGCTCTGGATATTTGCAAGTGATTGACCTCTTCCAGATATTAGACTGCAACTTCCATTAGCCATATTGGGTGGGGCTGATGAGCCAGAGCAATTTTGTTTTAAAGGGATTACATTACCTGAGGTGATTCTGGAAAGAAGTGTAGAAAAATGAGATTGCTGAATATGATTCATGACAAATTGCTGCGTCGGATTCTTGTTCTGCAGAAGTGTTGGCCCCAGTTTTTACACATCTTCTCTTCTACCCAACAGAGAGGCAGTCAGCAATTTCCTCACAGCTCTCAATTTGCAACGAAAGAGCCGGAATCAGCAGCAGGTTCCTCACCCTGCAATTTCAGGTAATATCTGGGCAGCTCTCCGGATTGCTCTGTCTATGATGGACCAGCCAGAACTTTTCCAGGCCGCTAATGTGGGCGATCTGGACGTCCTACTAAAAGCTTTCAACATCGAACCCTGATGCACACAGGGAGAGAGAAAGACTCACACAGAGAGACACTTAACCAAGCCCTCAAAAGAAAAAAGAAAGCCCAACCCATCTAGTTCTATACAGAAATAGAAATATCTTTGAATTCCCTGCTTGGACTGAGAAAGACGACGTGGACACTTTGCAGCAGAAAGGGTTCTATGGGATTCCACCAGATCTCCAGAAAATTAAAAGCACAAAACCTTGTAAATATCACCTTGCGCAAGTCCACATGGGAACAACAGCTACTATGGTGCATAGGGGAACTGGACAAACAACTTCACCTGGATATTCCTTACGACATGTACTTGTACAAAGAAAATGGGTTTTGAATATCATGCTACCATGTGCATAAGAGCACAGAAAAGGTGTTGGGTAGCGTTTCCTAAGGAGCTCCTCTGCCCCTCAAATACAGCAGAAGAGGGGAGGATGGATGGTTTCTCACTTCCATCTTCCACAGTTCCTTTCCCACATCTGTGGCCATCCATATGTAAACGTTGGAGTAGCTGTGTTTTCCCCACCGTTAGCAACCATCTACGGCTGAAACGTTAATTGGATTTTGATTCTGGAGTCTGGATCCCGTGAAGCCCTCCAAAGCAGAGATCTCATAAGATCCGAGAAGTCTACGCATGGAGAATTTGAAGGTTGAATCATATGCTGTAGGGGATGGGTTGTGCAAACAGAGGGCCATTTCTAATGCTGCAGCACCGCTGATGCAGGGGGTTTCTGTATGTGCAACAGAACTTCCTCTCCCTCTCTTGTTCTCTCCAGCCTCCTGGGTGCCCTCAAAACCAGCTCTAGATGGTTTGGGGAACCCTCTGGAGCAGATGTTGAGGGTGCATGGGGAGAGGAGAGGAAACGGAAGTTCCGTTACACCAGTGGAACGGTTCTGGCGCAGCATTAAATACAGCTGCTAAGTTGCAATTTGCACTAGAGGTTTTTTGGGGTGGTATGCATGGGTAGGGCTGGCCCCACCTGTTTGGGCACCCTGGATGGGTACCTGGGTGCACCTCGAACCCCTTTCTGAATCCACCAATTGTCTCTCAAAACCCCATGCCCCTTTTCCTTAGAGAGGTAAACCTGTTGCTAAGAATGTAGCCTACCAATGTCTGTTTTCAGTGATTCTGCAGGGATGTTGCGGTCGAAATTGTGAGTTGGTACCTAGCAGTGCAGGAATGTACCTGAAATCACTTCCCAAGCAGTCAGGGAGTGTTTTGTGCAGTTGCTAGGTAGCTGCCACGCAGGTTTCCTTCCCCTCCATCAAGCAAGCAGACACTGTTAGCGGGTGATGGCAGAGTGTTCAGCAGCTGGCTGCCCAGTGCTCTGGTCAGATGTCCATTGTGGCCACCGAGTGTTGTTTTGAGCAGAGCTCGCAACAGGACCACGATCAATGGGTTCATTTGCACTTTAATCTAGCTTTTCTGTTTTTATTTGTAAAGGGAGGGGGAGAAAAAATATATAATACTTTTTACACATTTGGAGAGAAATATCCAGATTCAGCCATGCTGGCAAAGGACCAATAAGGAACTTGACACAAGGTGCAGCTTCCTTCCAGGCTGTTTAAAAAATGCAAATAGGAGCCATAAATTACAGTCAAGAAATGGGAGAGGATATAGCATGGGTGTTAATGGGAGGCAAATGTCAGCAATCGAAGGACAGACATCTGTTCCCTCTCCCTTTTGGAAGAAAACGAGCAGATGGGCTTGCAGCCCCTGGTCTAGCAAAAGTGCTTCAGCTGATGCTGAACTATTTTGAGAAGGGATGGCAAAATTCTCCACTCTTCTTGACGGTACACGATCAGCTCCAAAATCTTCAAACTCGGTGCTTGAAGGAATTAAAAAATCCACTCAAGGTCACCAGGAAGTGAGCGAGCCCCATTTAAATGAATGGGAGTCACTCTTGAGCAGAGGAGGAAGCTCTTGATTTCAGTGGGGCTTACACGGAAGAAATGTCCTGATCCATTGGGTCCCAAGGAAATAAAGTGCTCTTTAATTCCAGTTGATTTCAGAAGTAGACAAAATGCTAGATTTTTAGATGACATTAGACATTTGAATGGAACGTTAAGTGCCAGAGATAAGGCACACGAAGAACCTTCCATCCAAGATGGATTATCAGGATGTATCAATAATTCCATTTTCTAAAATGGTGAATATTTGTAATTTTCTTTTTTTAAAAAAATAATATCACAAACTATGGTATAAAAACGGGGAAAGGGAGGGTATACAGCGTTTCATACTTAGAATGTTATACACAGGGTATCGCTTGGAGTTCTTGAAGCCTGATCGCTTTGGCTTGTTTATCAGTGCTGGTGACTTGGCTTAGCAGGCAGTGTGCTCTCAAACCTCGTTGAAAACATGGATGTGCTGGCGCAGCCCAAGTGGAGAATGTTTCCTAAATGTAATGATGTTCTTTTAAATGATCACCCAGAACCATGCCCATAAATGTCAGATGTGGCTGAACAGCATCTCCCATCATCCCTGCTGGCCATGGGCCCATGCTTGCCGGGGCTGATGGGAGTTGTAGTTCAGCAACATCTGGTGGGCCAGCAGTCCCCCACCCCTACTCTAAATTCAAGGCACCTTAAGAATTGCCTTGCTAGCTCAGACCAAAGGTTTATCTAGGCAGGCAGTGGGCAGAATAGTTGAGGATCTGCTGGGAGAAGTCTGGCAAGTAGATTGGCAAGGGTTTCCAACTCCCAGTCGTTTAACAATGGCAAAACAAAATGGCGCACACACCCTCATCCACTGTATCATTGTTGGATGAGGCAAGAAGGAGCAAGGCAGGTTACCTAGGATTGGATTTTAATGTGAAAGAACTGTGAACTCAGTTAAGTTATGGTATCTAAAACAAATTTCTGGGTTCAGAATTATTTTAATTTAGAGTGTACATCATTTGTCCCTGGCCCTGGTTGGTCAGTCTCAGGATTCTAGTAAATAAGCAATTAAGTGGGTCCTGCGAGCCTAACGTCTAAAAGCCACTGCTTTAGAAGTCTGTTTTCGGCATTAAGTGGTATATAAATTAATTCTTCTTTGTCATCGCTGAAGCCAGCACTGCTGATAGCTATATGCTCCAGGCAAATTCATAAACGGGGATATGATAACTGACAGCCTTTCCCTGGCGCTTGTCCCCGGCTGAAAGATATATTGCCTAAGGACATGGAGGTTCTGCTCAGCTGTCATCGCTAATCGGTAGGCCTACACACAAGGTCCCAGAAGCAGAGTGCATTCCAAGAAAAAAAATAAACCATTCAGTAGTAATAAGCAAAGATCTTTACACAGATAGCAATAAAACCTTGGATGTAAATGCCCCAATCCATCTTGCCATTCTTTCTCTGCATGCAGCGATGCTACTAGTGCGTATCTGGTGGAAACGGCCATTTATTTTTATGGCTTACGAACAAACACCTTTGCTGTCTCATTGCTCACAATGTCCAGATGCAACAGTTCATTAGCAACACTGGAAACCAATCATAGAATCATAGAGTTGGAAGAGACCACAAGGGCCATCGAGTCCAACCCCCTGCCAAGCAGGAAACACCATCAGAGCACTCTTGACATATGGTTGTCAAGCCTCTGCTTAAAGACCTCCAAAGAAGGAGACTCCACAGAATAGTTCAGAACTCCATTCAGAATAGTTTGTTGCTGTGTAGCCTGTTGGACAGGGCAGATCTGAGTAGAGCTGGGAGCCAAGGAGCACAATCTGGTAGGGATGTCCTCCAGCACCTTTGAAATGGACAACAGTTTGGGTCAGACGACACACAAGTGGCATCTACTTTTTAAAAACAAACAAACTGTATAGTCAACCAGAACTGGTGGTGGTTTTCAACAGTACCGAGAGACGGTTAACCTTCCCTGCCTCCTTGTGGTTCTGAAGAAAATAGCTCCCCTCAACCCCCAAGCCAACAGGGTGGGCAGCTCATATCATTGCTGATGGGGGCTTCTGAATGAATAGCAGCCTAGGGTGGGAAAGTGGATTATTTATTCTTTTTCTTTTTCTTAGAGGATAATGGTGCAAGCCTAACTCTTGCATCTACACACCACCATGCTGATTAAATCACAGGGCAGCTACTGACCAGTGGTTTCTAAAGGATGCATGCTACAAAAGAGTGTAATTTAGCATCATGTGTATTTCGTCCATAGAAGGGATCTACTGTCTGTTGAAGAAAACCGAGACTTTGCTCCTTCCAGTAGTAGCCTTAAAGCAACTACTTCTGCTGCCCTGCTGATTTCTGTCCTCTCCTGTGTACTTCACTGTGGTCCCATTAACACCATACCTTTAAAGCACTAGGAAACCACAAATCACAGCTTCTCCCAAAGGATTCTGGGCACTGCAGTTTCTTAAGGGGGCCGAGAGTTGTTTTTTTAGGAGACCCCCTATTCCTTCCACAGAGTTACAGTTCCCTCAGAGTTCCCTGTGATTAACTGCTAAACCAATCTGAGAATTGTAGCGCTGTGAGGTGAACAGAGGTCTCCTAGCACCTCTCAGCATCCTTTGCAAACTGAAGCTCCCAGGATTCTTTGGGGGAAAGCCATGACACTGTAAAGCAGCATCATAGCGCTTTAAATCCATAGTGTGGATGTGGCCAGTGTCATTTTGCTGCTCTCTTCCTGCTCTTGCGGAGGACAGGATGAAGACGGGTTTCCTCCTCACACACACACACACACACACCGGTGTGCTGCATCCTAGGAAATAAGCAGCTGCTTAAAGGAGAAAAAGTGCACACATTGTCCCCTGCCTCCATCTTTCAGGTTCACTTTTAGTGCAAGCTTTGGAACTCATTGACACTTGACATTATAAGCTGTGTCTCCATGGTAGAGCTACTTGCAGTGGACAATGGAGGATTGCCGCCCAAAGTGACATCCCTGCGTCAACACATCTTCTCCTTTCTTTTAGTCAAATGTATTATGTCGTTTTCCTGCCAGTGATGTGGAGCGACAAGGTGGAGCGAGAGCATGGGCACATCTGACTAAACTTTATGGAAGCAGGAAGAGAAATTCAATATGGAAGGGGGGCGAGAAAATTGAACACAGGGATACCATTTGTGGCAGCAGCCCTGTGTCAAGTGCCACGCGTAGATCCTCTCTTGCAAATCATAGGGTAGTATTCAGCTAAGAAAAAGAAGAGTTTGGATTTGATACCCTGCCTTTCACTCCCCTTCAGGAGTCTCAAAGTGGCTAACATTCTCCTTTCCCTTCCTCCCCCACAACAAACACTCTGTGAGGTGAGTGAGGCTGAGAGACTTCAAAGAAGTGTGACTGGCCCAAGGTCACCCAGCAGCTGCATGTGGAGGAGCGGAGACGCGAACCCGGTTCCCCAGATTACAAGTCTACCGCTCTTAACCACTACACCACACTGGCTCTAAGGTTACACCATGCCTTTAAAGCACTACAATGCCACTTTAAACAGTCATGGCTTCTCCCAACGAATTCTGGGAGCTGTATTTGGTTAAGGTTGCTGAGAGTTGTTGGATACCCCTATTCCCCTTCCAGAACTACAATTTCCAGAATCCCCTGTGAAGAGTGATTGATAGTTAAATCACTCTGTAGGCTGTAGCTCTATGAGAGTCTCCTAGCAACTTCCAGCTCTCTTAACAAATACAGCTCCCAGAATTCTTTGGGGGAAGCCATGACTGTTCAGAAAGGTATCATACTGCTTTAATTGTGTGGTGTGACTACAGCTTTAGTCATGGTCATTAATTTCATTGGGTTTACTCTTGAGTAAAACATAGCTGAATACCACCCATAGTATCTGCAGCTTCAAATTTATTCTAGCAGAGCAGTTTTAAAAAGGAGCCTCCCTGTTTCAACAAAGCCTTCTCTTCCTGCAGTTTTATATATATCAATGTTAAAAAACCACTTCCCTAAACTTTTGTTTTCTTCTTTCTCATTCATTGTTTTTATGGCTAGTTGAGAAACTATATCTACATATAAATACTGTTCTTTGAGTTAGTATATATATCTATCCCTCTCTTGATATATATATATTTAAGGGGGTTTTTCTAATAGCAGTGCAAGTTTGTAAATATATATATTTTAAGAAATTACATAGCCTCAGGTAGCAAAGTAGTGCATGCGAGCTGTATTTAACACCAACCTAAAATGTGCACTACTGGTATAACGCATGTCAAAAAGCAACAGTTCTTTTAAACGTAAGTTTATGCTGTGCATGACTACATCATTAAGATAGCAAAATCAACACACCAAGCTGCGGTTCACTTCCCTTAGGTAACTGGGTTTGAAAGATACATCAGGTTAGCTATATAGTCTTAAAATGAGGGGAGAGTGTTATGTTACTTTGGAGTTATAAGAGGTGCATGGATGGCAAGAAACACTCCTTGACCCTGTCATTAGCCAGGGTAGCCATTGGTGAGCCAGCTCCTTACTTCTGCGCTCCTCTGAGGATTCACACTAGCCTGCAAATGGACATCTCCCCTCTCCTTTTGCAGGCGGGGTTTGAATCCAAAACCTGCCTGCAAAGGGACGCTGCAAGGGCTGGCAATCTGCCAATGGCCAGCACTTACAAAGGCGCAGGCAGACCCTGCTTTGTCACATCCTTACCTGCCCCATGCCTGAAGTCAGATACGGCATCAGGTGCAGGGCAGATGGGCACAGCCCCACAGGCCAAATGGAGAGGCCTGCCAGGGTAGCGAATGGCCAGGTATTGCATGTTTTGCTGCCAGACTTGGGGGAGGGGAATGAGTCCCATTTAGGACTCCTCCACCATAGGCACCAACATGCCTTGGGACCAGCTGTGGTCCATTGCTTGCAGACTAGCTGCTATTCTGCATGGCTCACAAATTGGAGGAGAGAGTAAAATGACAGGCTTTAAAACGCCGAGTCCAAAAGGAGCACTGAGCCAGGAAGAAAGGAGTGAAAAGAGGGATGCAGTCACTGCTAGCAATGGAGGACATGTCATTAACCATCACAGGAATCAAGGAGCCTGCAGAAGATATGGGGTTGTTATGATGGGGATATTGGGGCACAGTTACCTGGAGATATATATTCTTCCCATGCTAGGGCAGAAAGCAGTAGCTGAGGTGGGGATACCAAACTACTAGCGACAGGCTAGGACAGAAAAACACAAACCCTTAGCCTAATTCTCTGCAAAGGTCTTGCACTCTTTGCTTGCCTCCTTTTACAGCTTTTTCCCCTCGGCTCAAAACATGGTCACTGTTCTTGCCTAACATGTCAGTGGAACGGCAGCTGCACTTCCAAATGTAGAAAAACATACCATACTATTCTATTGCACAGACTGCATAGAGTTACCATGTGAGTCATACCACGTAGTGGGACTGAGGGAACACAAACCCACTCATGTGCTTTAAGACTACCTCTGAGTAGAGGCAGAGGAAGGAGCAGGGCCTCTAGGTCAGAGGATCTCCCAGAATGCAGCAGAGCATCAGGATTCCCACATCCATCAAGTCAGCAAGTCAACAAGAACAGGAGAGCAAGGTTGGCTTGCCCACCATAAACTGTCATAGTTTTCTTCAGTGGGCTGTAAGGTAAAGGTAAAGGGACCCTTGACCATTAGGTCCAGTCGTGGCCGACTCTGGGATTGCGGCGCTCATCTCGCTTTATTGGCCGAGGGAGCTGGCGTACAGCTTCCGGGTCATGTGGCCAGCATGACTAAGCCGCCTCTGGCAAACCAGAGCAGCGCACAGAAATGCTGTTTACCACCGGAGCAGTACCTATTTATCTACTTGCACTTTGACGTGCTTTCAAACTGCTAGGTTGGCAGGAGCAGAGACCGAACAACGGGAGCTCACCCCATTGCAGGGATTTGAATCGCCGACCTCCTGATCGGGAAGTCTAGGGTTTGCAATTTTTAAAATAGTAATAAAGCCTTTATTCTCACTGGCTATTTTTGAGGGGTGTGTGTGAGAGGGAACCATGACAGTTAACAGAGCTCGAGATGGTGGTGTAGACATGTCTGCCATCTTGGGAGCCCATACATCTACAACAGTCACTTTGACACATATGAAGGCTTGAAGGTACTGCTGGGGAATCAAGGTGAATTCCCCACTCTCCTAGCAGGAGTTTGGTCAATATTCTAATCCACCACCATCCACCTTGGGTCTGAAGGTCTTAGGGCAAGGATGTTGAACGATATCTCCTCAGAGGGAATCTGAGCCCTCATCTCAACAGGGATGTGCTGGAAGGATTGTTATCCCATCAGAAGATCCACAGAGAAAGTGACTTCAGGGAACCGGTTGTATGTGGGCTGAATGCAGCTCAGGATGTTTTCAAATCTGGGCTTCCCTACCTCCCCACCTGGCAATTAAGATGTACAAAGTAAGCAGGGACCGTTCTTCCTAGGCCAAATTGCAACACAGGGATGGGATTCCCGGGGGCAGCAGCTGGGGAAGGAAGGGTTAACTGCACCCTCCCTGTCTCTGCTCCCCACCCCCACCCAGAACCACATCCCTGGGCTGCCATTAAGGCTTAGAAGAAAAGATATGTCTGCACAGTATATGTATATCTGTTATAGAGGTGGGTGAATGACTGCCAAAGACATTGAAACTAGAATTTATTTGTGTGTGCACGCTGCAGAGGTGAGAATTGAGGTCACAGTGCTCTTCCTATTCATACTCTCCTTCCAGTCTTTCTCTGCCATAGGAGAAAAACACGTACTAAAGGCCAGCTCCTAGCTCTGCTGACACAAATCCATGGCTCGGTTGTATTTGGAAGACCTTGGCCTTACTATGCTTCCTCTTCCTCCGTTTGCATAATTTCCTCTCTGTGCATCATGAGTGGGCTGAAGATTGCATTTTACGTTCGCAGCTTTTAAAAAAATATCTGTACTATTTATCAACTGTAAATTTAGGGGAAATGTTTATAAATATATATTTTTTATATATCAGGTGTAAGGTTAAATAGATGCAACTAAGAGCATATATAGTTTTGAACAGAATATTGTGCTGCCTCTGCTACACGATACGTTTCGAATTTTCAGTATCCTGAAATAAGTCTGGGTCTTTTTTTTAATTTTAAAGCTCAAGTACAGTCAATAATAGCTTACGAGTCTGCAGCTCATTTGCATCTTGGCGGGTAATTTATTTTGTGGAGGCATCAATCCTGCAAAGATTTACAAAAATATATATATATATATTTTTGAGGGGTCATTTACCAAAGGATCTTATTTCTCATGCAAACCTATATCCTAAAAGCAAACCCATTTTCTAAGTCTGGATCCTTATGTGACCAACATGGTATCATGAAGGAGGTGGTAGCAAAAGGCTTGAAGAAACCCCAGATTTATGGGGGTTTATAAATACTTTAGAAATGGGGGCATGAAAACAGACTATAGAGAAAGGACCTGGGACCTTCTACTTGTGGATTCTCCATACAATGATGGCAGGTCAAGAGCTTTTGCTGAAAACATCTGTGTTCCAAATTAGAAGTTTGAAGTACGGTCAGAATATAATACTGACTTTCGCAAACTCTATTAGGTTCAAAATTCCTGGAGATAAAGGCAAACACGAGAACGTCTTTGCAGGATGCGGAGCCTTAAAATATGAAAGATGCCACTGGAAACCAAATAAATGGTTGAATGTTTACATTCACTTCCAAGAGAAATCCAGTCTGAGGAAAACATCTATGTGGTTTAAGGTTAGCCTGCAAATAACAAAACATTTCTGCCTCTAAATACTTAGTGCATTACTAGCCGCATATAATAGTTAAAGAAACAACAGTTCTATAGTTTAATGAAGCTTCAAAGTGACGTTTCCGTGCTCTGCTCTTTAATGTAACCTATGCTTTTAACTTGGAACTGTATGGATATTTAGTGTGTTTTATTTATAAGGCTGGTAAGATAAAAAATTTGCAGAGCACCACAGTAAATGTATTTTTGTACGGTAATGGAAGCATGCCTTCCTTTGATTCTTTTTCCACTTATTAAATTGTATTTATTTTCCTGTATTTATAAAACCGTGCAATTTTTAAATATGTTCTAAAATAAACTTTGTCTGTGGCTTCAAGTTATTTGTTGCCTGGAGATTTAGAAGGATTTATTTCTGCCAGGGTGAAAGCTATTTCCTCCTCCATACATAAAGTTGTTTTGTTGTGTTAATGGTTAAGAACCAGAGTTGAGTTGCGCTTTTGTTCATCCATTCCCCAAATGCATCCAGGATTTGATGGAAGACGCAAGCAACCCTGTCAAATCATCTGGAAATCGTGAGCACACAAAAAAGTGTGTTTCTGTGTGGAAGAGACAACATAAACCAACACATGCAAAATTGTTTTTTTGTTTTTTTAATTTAAAACAGTTGCAACCATCTCATTCACATCCCTTCTTGTGGCAGACAGATTCTCTTCAAACGATGATTAGCATTTCACGCCGACAATTCGGAACAGTGCAAACTCATCCAAATTGCAAACATTTCCAAGATACAGTAGTTAACCTCAAATGATTCGTACAGTAATCTGATCCAATGTGAGAAGCAGAAAAGGGAAGGAGTGTGTAAGAGATTAAAATTAAAAGGCACAGCCAGTTCCACCATAAATTTGCATAGTCGTTCAATGCCTCAGAAATCAGGAGGGTGGGACCTAGCAAAACTGCCACAAGGATGGAAAACAAAGGATATAAACTGGAGATACATTTTAAGATACAGTTTGCCTTACCGATCTGCAACACAATGGCAGATTCAGATACTTTTAAATACGCCACATCCATAGTTACAACTGCAATGATTGAAGAATGTGCCGCGGCACTGATGGGCCAAACACCACACTCACAGGTGCTGCTGCCATGAAGTGGTGCCTGAAATAGCACTCATCCTGCACCAGATGCAACTTTTCACATGGGGTCACTTGGGCCCCATACACATAATAGTAAGCCATAGTTACAAACAAACCATGGTTTACCCTGAACCAACAGCATGCTGTTACACACTGCTCAAATACTGCCTGCGCTGCATCTCCCTTTGCAAAGAGACCAGTGTTGGCTTAGCATTATTTGCAAACCAGCCCAGTGTTGATGTCTTGATTTCCTCCATATAAACCTCAACAGGGTGGCAAGAACAAACCTTGGTTTCCTCCCATGACTGGAGAGAGAAAAAACTACAAGTAGTGGTTCACACGTCACGCTAAGCCAGCACTGTAATTTGTGGGACGGACACAATCTGAGCAGCGTTTACCAGCATGGGATTTTAATGCAGCTGGCATCAGGCACTCGGGGCATGAACACTAATCTTGTCAGTGCATTAAATGCGGGAAAGTTACCATGAAGCAAGTTATCCATGGAATATTTTTTAAAGGAGAGTCCCTGATGTGCAACAGGAATGAAAGGTTCCATTCGCAGGATTGCCCTCCAGAAAAGATAACTCATGGGGATGTAATTTTCATACATGTGTGCACTTGCTGGATCATTTCAACAAACTGGCTCTTATTTGCCAACAAACAGGATGATGCTAATCAAGGAGACATTTAACCCCATTAACAATGGCTTATTCCAGTGTAACATTTGGTACACAGGTCTCATTTATTAGCACCATACTGTTTGTTGGCAAGGAAGAGAAACTCTCCTAGATTGCATATGATTAACATTGACAAGGAACAAATTGGAGGGAAGAGACCAGCTCCCGTGTCCAATAAAGATTAAGTTTTGATTCTTTGTCACTTGAGTGTTGCCAAATTGGTGTTCAAAATGTGGACATCAGCCATCACATTGACCATGGTGAAAACAAATGGAAAATAATACTTTGGGGTTTCTTCCTCGGTTTACAAATCTACAACAAAAGTCAACCGAATTCTAATCCAAGTAAATTATCATCCTCTTTCTCTTAAAAGACAACAACTAACTTTGCAGAAGAATTTGAAATGTGAAGCAGTCTTTTTATCAAACTTAATAGAAAGTGGAAGCAAAGAGGTCCTTATTCCTATTGTATGGCTCCGTACAGGATCCAATGGGGCTTTTTCATACACAAAGGGTCTTCTTCTGCTGCTCGCATTCATTTCAATGCCGCTCTTGCAGGGAAACATCCCAGCGGATTGCACCTTTTTGGGGAGGGGATAAAATCAATGATGCGATGGAGTGGTGAAAAAAATGCTGTGCTTGCCAACTGCACACAGGAGGAAATGCTGCTAGGGACCCCATTTAGCAGAGAAGACAACTAAGGTGACATCCAAACCATATATTTAATGCCCCCCATTTATACCACTTTAACAGTCACAGCAAGCTATGGTTTTCCCAGTAGTGATGTATGGAAGTGAAAGCTGGACTATAAAGAAGGCTGATCGCCGAAGAATTGATGCTTTTGAATTATGGTGCTGGAGGAGACTCTTGAGAGTCCCATGGACTGCAAGAAGATCAAACCTATCCATTCTGAAGGAAATCAGCCCTGAGTGCTCACTGGAAGGACAGATCCTGAAGTTGGGGCTCCAATACTTTGGCCACCTCATGAGAAGAGAAGACTCCCTGGAAAAGACCCTGATGTTGGGAAAGATGGAGGGCACAAGGAGAAGGGGGCGACAGAGGGCGAGATGGTTGGATAGTGTTCACGAAGCTACCAGCATGAGTTTGACCAAACTGCGGGAGGCAGTGGAAGACAGGAGTGCCTGGCGTGCTCTGGTCCAGGGGGTCACGAAGAGTCGGACACGACTAAACAACTAAACAACAACAACAGTCACAGCTTCTTCATGACTTCTCCTGTAGTTTGTTAAGGGTGCTGAGAGTTGTTCTGAGTCCCTTCGCAGAGACACAGTTGCCAACACACAACAGCTTCCAGCTTTCTTTGGGTGGGGTGTCATGAATGTTCAAGTGGTACAAAAGAGTATAGCATGGGTGTTGACCCAAAACAGATCCCACAGCCAAATTCTCTAAATTTCCCAGAGGGTGAAAAAAAAGCCCCATTGTTTATATTTAGCTGGGAGTCTTTAGGCTTTAATCCCAGATTTAAGGGCAGTGCCCTCAGCTGTCCATCACTAATAACCATGTACTTGCCATGCTGAATGAACTGCCCTTTCATCCTAGTTCAAATGCCAATGGACTGAGGAGGAGGTGCTTTTACAACCAAAGTCTTGCCTTCATCCTCCAGAGTCATGCATGTACAGTACCTATTTCATTGTTGGCACTCCCCACTTTAGTAATTACACAGCAAGAAGCTAAATTGGGTTGGCCCACAACCTTTATGCGCACAGGCCCGGATGTAAAATGATGGAACCATCCACCGAAATCCTCTCTCTGCAAGCTCTGTTCAATGAATTTAAGCTGTGAACCGCCCTGTGATCTTCGAATGAAGGGTGGTACACAAATTTAATAATAATCATCTGTGCTTTTGATCCCATTTCATTTCAACAGGGCTCATGAGGAAGACCTGGTAGGTTGCACCCAGAGTTTATCTGCATCCAAGATTCAAATTCCACCAAGATATACAAGCCTATTTACTGACCCCAAACATAGCCTGTGTGAGGGAGAAGTTGAGGACTTGGAGGAAAACGCAGCTCCCCCCTCAAACCCCACCCCCATATCTCAACTACCATTGAATGCTGCTCTGTCAAGTTATTCTACCCTGCTTTTTTAAATTGTCTCGTGCACATGCACACAAATATGTGTGGAGCTTTGTGCTAAGCAAAGCTACAGGGAACCAGGCAGAGGGCCTTCTCGGTAGTGGCACCCACCCTGTGGAACGCCCTCCCATGAGATGTCAAAGCGATAAACAACTACCTGACATTCAGAAGACATCTTAAGGCAGCCCTGTTCAGGGAAGTTTTTAACGTGTGATATTTTAGTGTATTTTTGGTTTCTATGGAAGCCACCCAGAGTGGCTGGGGAGGCCCAGCCAGATGGGCAGGGTATAAATAATTTTTTTAAAATTATTATTATTATTATTAAGAACATTCCAGAAGGAGAAGCAGGGAGCAAATGTTTGATAGTAAATATAGTCCGCCCCCCCCCCCCACTGTCCCTCAGACCTTGTGGGGGGGGGCGGACTATATTTTGAAGGGGGGGGGATGAATGAATTCCTATGCCCCACAAATAGCCCAGAGATGCATTTTAAATAAAAGCACACATTCTACTCATGTAAAAATACACTGATTCCCGGACCGTCTACGGGCCGCATTGAGAAGGCGATTGGGCCGCATCCGGCCCCTGGGCCTTAGTTTGCCTACCCATGTTCTCGGCTGTTGTTCTTTGGGTTTGGATACTGTGCTTTGCATGCATTCATCTCTCACTCTCATATATAAATATTCAGAGAGAGAGAGAAGGCTATTTTAGATCAGAGTCTATATACATGCAGATAGCTTAACAAGTTTGCTTCTGGGATATTGGCTCCCAGATTCAAGAAGGAACACACTGAGAGTTCCCATTATTTACACTTAGATACAGGATGCTGGCATAGCAGATCTCGCCTGCTTTGAACTAGCCCTTATACGTCCACAAGGTGGAGGAAAGACCACTTTGCTGAATTTTCGCAGGCACAGGAGACCTTGTTTAAATAAGCACATCGTGACAAATCCAGACTCTGCAGAAATCATCAGAATTAGACAAATATTCTCCCCAGTGACACATTCTAAGGTAACAGCAAATAACAGCAGATCAGCCAGCAAATTTTGTGGTACATTCATAGTGACTTGAGAAGCTGTAATTGAAGGTAGCCTGGGACTAGGTTGCGAGACAGATCAGCATTCTAACATGCCTGTAGCAGTGCTGTAAATAAAGCAAAGTGGTGATGGTAGAATAGACCCCAAGATAGAGGCTTTGGATTCACCACTCGCAGTGTTGCTGGGCTCGAAAGCCTCTTTCTGCCTTTTGTGGCTGTTGATTTGTAGAATCTAACCTGACATACAAGGTCTTAAGCTGCATCACTAGTGCCTCAAATGATGCTGGCTCCAAGCATAAATAGCCGCAACACTGATCTTTCCATAAAGAAACTCTGTGTATGTGCATGTATATACACACGCACACACAAACACACACACACTGTAATGTCTCCTGAACTTCTGCACAAGTAGTATGTCATTTACTGAAGATTTATACTTGATACAGGTTTGTCTGCTGTTTTCTATGGTAACAGCTGCATTTGCTTGACCCAAATCAGTAGGCACCACTTTATTTGCCATTGCAAATTCCCTAACAACCCAGTAGTTCAACAAAGGCAAAAAAAGTAATAAAAAAGAACTTACCAGGCCCATGAGTTCACACAATGAATTGAAACAAACAAACAAAAATACACACACACACCCCTTTTACGCTTGTAAAGCCATAAAATAGCACAGTGAAAATAGTGTGAAACTGAAAAGAAGACATTGGAGGCAGTGGGGAGGTTTGTTAGAAAGGGATACTTGGCTCCTTTGCAAACTGCTGACAAGTCAATATGATGGTTTTTAAATGGAAAAAAAATCAATCCATCAGCAGGCTATTTCATGGGAAGAAATTTTAAATAATTAAACAAGCTATGCCAGAGGAAAAGGACTGTCTGCATATTTGCTAGACACGGTTCCTCTAGGGAGCGTCATTGCCAGGGAAAGTTATATATTTTAGCTTCTCCATAAAGGGTCCCTATCTTTAAAATATTTTTGTGGGAAATACTAAAGCGGCATAAAAGTGGAAGGAAAATCAAAGCAGACTGACTTCGGGTCCAGTACATTTTACGACCCTGATGAGGTCTTCTTCTGTGGTAAAGGATTCCCAACCGATCCACAAACATCTGCATGTCCTCACCATGTGACTCTCCCCCATCCTGTCGTCCTAGCAACTCTAGTTCCTTTGGTTGCCGTGGAAGGGGAAGAAGGTGGGGCAAGAGCTAGTCACAAGGTGAGCCCTTGTAAACGTTACGAAGCAGGATGGGAATACTTGTCATGGGGACCCATGGAGTGGATTCCCTTTACAGTATATGCAAAAGCATGAATAACCGAGGAGGAAGAACAGCCAAGCTGCAGTTTGCTGATCCACAGCCCTACACGAACCCTGAGGACTACACAGAGCTTTTGCATGTGTGAGCATTTATCTCACAATGGGAGAAGCAGACTCACGCACAGACACAAATGTGCATACCGATCCACTGAAATGGGTGAAATGAGCCCTTTCTTATAAAGCGAGTTCTCAAACCATCAGCAATTGCTAGGTCAATGCATAGAAAAGGAAGGTATGTTTTGAAGCCACCCAAAGCACCGTTTGTTTAAAACAAAAAAATGAACACCCAGAATTTTTTGTTTGTTTGGCCAAACTGCAAGCTCCCTTGGCTGCAGTTATTAACCTTGATTTCACACGCTGACATCTGCAACATATTCTGGGCCGTTACATCCTGGAATAACACAGTGCTATTCAAAAAAGGAAAAGGAAAAAAGGAAATCTAACCAGAGATCACAACTAAGCCACTTTTTCAGGCTGGCAAACAGATCTTCCACCAAACATTCCCTTCAGGGTGGTGGTAAACTCTCCAGTCAAAGGCAGTGGCTTGGCTACCATCACTGATTCCATAACAGTTGCTGAGGGTCGAAACTGACTTGCGAGGTAAGAAGGTGGGTGTTTCAGAGTTTGAGAGCAGTCTCGTGTTCTCCAGTTGCTTGCTGCAATCTCGGCTAGTGATCAGAACAGCCTTGAGGTCGCCACAAAGTGTATACATATTTTTTTTCCAAAATCCTAGAACGCGCTGTGACCCAACAGAAATTCCTCCACTACAGTGTTAAGAAGGCATCAAATGACTGATCCTGATTTTAAGCTATAAATAGTACCCAAATGTTTTCCTTTTTGCTCCTTTTGGCAGTCCAAAGGCTTTGCTTGTTTAAAACGACTTTTTGGCAGAATAAAAAGGCTTATGGCTTCTTAAGGCCAAGGGGCGTTTACTAAGGCCTAACTTGGTATCCTGCGGTAAAAGTAAATATACCCCAACTCCCTGGGTGGTCGCTCCGAGGCACAGACTTTGAGGTCATTGTAGATCACCCACCTGAAACAAAGAGATGGGAGGAAAAAGAAAAAGGCAATGAGTGTATTGAGAAATCAGGCTTAATGCCCAATCCTGGGGTCAGAATCCTACCCTTATCCAGCATCCTTTTGTCTGGATTATTAGCCTGGAGAGTTCTCAAACAGCAAAGGAATTTACTGCCCGATCTGGATACCTCTTGGTCTTTTTAATATCATTTGCTGAAAATCTTGGGATTCTTTTTCTGCTGTAAACTGGGGGTTGCAGACTGCGTCCAGGGATCCGCTGGCACATGCTGTATTTCATGGGCAGGATTAAAGCCACGTTCAGATTGGAGTCCATGTCAGAATTTGGACAGAAGCAATAAGCATGGGCCCAACATAAAGGCAGGTGAATCTTGCCAGAAAGGACAGAATGTGAGGGGGAATAGTAGAGCTTAGGAGACAAGAGCATGGTTGGATTGAGGCAGGTGGAAAGGAGGAGAAAGAGATCAGGTAGCTCCAGCAATGCGAACTTGGAAGCCTGCCCTAGTCCTTTCAGTGGAATCTGCTTCCACGACAAAGTGGTTAGGACCAAAGTGCCAAGCTCACTTTGAGCTTTGTTCAATCCTGGTAGTTTTACTAATTTTATATTATCTAACAGTTCCACCTACTCACCTTCCCTCCTTTTTGAGATGACAAACATAATGGCCACTCATTGTAGATGTTCCCATGTGACTGATGAACCCAAAAAGTTCATATCCTGTGCAAGGAAAATACCAAATATGAGAAGCAGGGATGTGAAGAGATATCCTTAGCCAGCCAAGTCCAGCAGTCACATCATGCAAGCATCATGTTAGTTATCCATTCGTTCACTCATCATATTTTGAACCTTCCCCTCCCACAGGGGATTCAGGGGGACATACTATGTTTGTCTGTTTCCCCCCACCCAAGAAATCCATTTTTAAATGAAACAGACATCTGGAAAATAGCACGGAACATGCATGTAGATAGTCTCTCATGTTCTTCTCTTGATGTAAACACACACCCGGAAGTAAAAACCGGGAATGGTCTCTCTGTCCCCTCTACACCCCATGCTTGTGCAGAGAAACAAACTGAAATGTAATAGGGCTGGTGTAGCAACTGTTATATGAGATTATCTACCATGTGTTTTGATACTTTGTCCTGCACAAAGAGGAGCCACAGCACAATCTCAACGACACCTAATCTTCCCTGTATTATAGATGGGATTAATGGTATTTTGAATTTATGAGAAATTGTTCAAATGTTTGATATTATATTTTATAGCTTGTTTTTTTGAATATATTTTAAACTGATAGAACTTGCAACATTGGCGTTATCACCACTGCGCTCCAACCAAATAATTATTATGATGCCCCAAAATACACTTTCATATTCCAATTATACAATATACGATATCTTTATTGTCATTGTCCCATGAAGGACAATGAAATTTAAAAACTACATAAAACAACATAAAAACTACATAAAACATTCAAAAACTCCTAAAAACTCTGAAACCCCATTTTAAAATACACTATACTATAGAGACCCCTTATGCTGCATTTAGAACCAGAATTGCTTTTGCGTAGAAACTGTTTCTCAGGCGGCTAGTCCTGGCCTTTATAACCCTATACCTTCTTCCAGAAGGCAGAAGCTGAAAGAGATCATTTCCGGGGTGCGTACTATCCTGCGCTATCTCTGCTGCTTTCTTATGGCACCTGGCAGCATAGTTTTGATCCAAGGTGGGAAGAGTGCACCCAATTATTCTCTCTGCAGTCTTTACAACCCTGGATAGCATTGTTTTTTCCCTGGCCGTGCAGCTCCCAAACCACACACACAGACCATAAGTTAATACGCTCTCCACAGTGCAATGGTAAAACGCCATCAACAGGTCCTTTGAGAGATTGTTTTTCCGGAGGATTCTCAGAAAATATAACCTCTGCTGTGCTCTCTTCACCAGGTCTTTGCTGTTTTCTCCCCAGGTTAGGTCGTCTCTCAACTCCATTCCCAGAAATCAAAACACCGAGACCTGTTATTCACATGGCCCCGCAAAAACCTTGTGAGAAACAGAGCCAAGCACTATTTGCTACTTCCAGGCTTTCTAAGGTGACTGTGGTCTACTTCTTTCTGCTCAGTACTCTTCAACTGCTGTCCAACAGCGCCATCCTGTGGCTGGTTTTAGATTTTCCCCCCTGCAAGGATCATTGTCACCATCAAGGTAAAAAACGAAGCAGATTATCTTTTGTTACAGCCAGATATAAAAATGAGGAGAAAACGTGAGTCTAAATGTGTCCCAGCAGCACAGAGAAATGTCTGCTCCCTCTGGGCATCTGTATCAAAAGCTGCTTCAAATCAATAGTCCACACAGCTTGCGCTATCTAGTCTAACTAGGGCTATGGGATCTTAAGACAAAGGCAGCCTTGCCACCAGAGTCACTTTAATGAGAGTTGCCAGGGGCTAAACCTGAGGACTGCTGCACACCAAAGAGTTGTTTCACACATTACACACAGTAACAAGCCCAGGTTTGCCATCAAACATACATTCAACAGGGGGCCTGCAGTGAATCCTGGCTCCTTAACGAGCGCATCGTTACAACGAATATTGTACATTTGCAGGTGTGCTTATGAAAATGTTTCTTCCCATTCCCTTTTTGCATCAGGAAGAGGTCTGTAGAAATCAAAAGCCAACTTGCTGATTTAGGGTTTTTAGTTTGCCATAATTAGAATTCTTAAAAAAGACTAAATATGACTTTTCTGCATTTTTTTGGTCTTACTCAAGCAGCACAAAATAACCCCATTTGTCGAATAAAATAGACAAATGAACCTATCCTTCCTTGCTGACCTTTACAAGGTTGGGCAAAACTTAGCCGTTCTGACAGGCGTTTCAGTGTATCTTGAAAGGGTTTGGGGATTTAATACTGCTACTGTTGATCTTTAGCCATTCAGTTCGTGTTGGCAGTTTCAGTGAACTGATTTTGGTATTTGTCATTTTAAGACTGACTGATAATTGTACGTTTTGTACATGGTTGTATATCACCATTTCCGTTGACAGTGGAGAAACGATTCATAGCCGCAGCAAATACATTTGGGAAAAGGGAATAAGATATGAACAACCAAAGCAAAGTGTCTATGGGAAACTTACGCCCAGAGCCGTCTTTGATCCTGGGTCCTTCTGGATCAGATTCTGCAAGGATGTTGGCATTCACATGGTTCTCTAGGTCCATGGTTTCAGAAGTCGTTTCGTTCTCCTCCTCTGGCTCTGGGTGACTGAAGATCCAGTCTAATGCATGCTCCAGGTTATTATTCTGCCAACCAATAGGAAGATAAAATAGCCAACAGCCATCAGCATCAGTACAACCATTGTGGCTTGGGTGCCTTTTCCCAAAAATAAAAAAAACCTGTTGCTGCATTGTTCCCTTTGTATGGGAAACACAAACAAAAGGTGGAGGGACAAAACCTGCTGCAAATGGAAATATTCCCACTGCAGCAGAGAGGCTTCTTCATCTTTACGCGTCTGAAGCTCACTGAGTTGATTTAAGCACCATGGACAGTGACAACCTCAACAGAGTCTCCTTCAGTTCAGCAGAGCAGCTGTATTAGGCTGTGCAATGTGGTTGCCATAATCCCGTATTTGCTCCTATGTCATGTTTAACTTCCACCCACATAGTCTGGACAGATTGTGTTGGTCTGGTACCAAACTAAGGATACCCTCCCCTAGCTGGACAAGTAATCCTCTATCTTAACTAACGGGAAGAGCAAGTGTTACAAATATTATGATGCCAGGAAGGGCAACAAATGAATGGAGCCTTCAGGCTGCTGCTGCAGCAGTAATAAAAAATGCAAGCTAACTTAATTCAGCATCAGCTTTTGCAAGCTACAGTCTACCTTATCTGTGTCATTCATCTAATTATGTCAGCTCATGCCCATCAATCTCAGGCCCAAATAACTTTGTCCTTACGTTTCTATAAGCCTCTTATTCAGTTCACTGTTACTCAAACTGCACATTTCTGAATTTTCCGCTCCAGCTCTTTCCCATCCTCACCAGGTGAGAATGCCTTTTGCATCAACCTGCTGGCTAGTGTACTAACTTTTAGCATGAGTTCCAGGGAACCCGGAGACTGGGGCTCCTCAGTGAGAAGTCGCCACAAGATGAGCATCTCTGAAAGCATCCGTTGCAACAAAGAATGACAGAGTACCAGCTTGAGGAAGGCTGTGCTATAGAAATAATAAATAGGCACCTCAAACAGAGAAGTTCTGAGTATTGGTCAAAGAGTTGCCTTCTCTTTAAAAGTCTCAAGCCAGTCCTCCTAAAGCTGCTTCCCAACCCTCAATAAGCTATTGGCAAAGAAGATTTTGCAGCCAAGATTTCCCCCTGACCAGTACCTATGAACAGGATGCCGCCTAAACTTAATTCCCCAAAGGAAAAGTACTGCAAGGTTTTCCTTTGTCAAATGTCCTGCTGCCACTGCTAATGGCAGAAAAAGGGCCTGTTCTGCTTTGGATAATGACATTAATTTACCATACCAGCTTTTGAAAGTCATATTTGATGAGGAAGTGGAGGACGTCTGTATCTGTGCTAAAAATAGACCCCAAATAATTTGCCGGACGACTCACTGTTGCCCGTAGCGCGTGGAAAGCTATATTCCGCTGAAAGCCCATAGAGGTAATGATGGCAACCATTTCTTCTGGGGGCTGGTTATCCAGCCCAACAACTGCTGCTCCACCTGCCGCAGGAAAAGTGGCTCCTCCGTAACCAGGGATGGCTAAGGGCTCTGCAAAATCTGGAACATAAGCGGCAAATATTTAAATCTCTGCAAAGAAATTGAGCGCCTATTCCTAAACCAGGAGAAGCTGAGTTCCAGTCACCGGACAGCAACAACAAGAGAGGGTTGTTCCTTTTATGCCTTGCTTGTGGGCTCCATGGGGGGGAGCAGAAACTTTGAACTAGGTGGATGTTTGGGACTGATCAAGCAGGCCTCCACTTATGTTCATACAGATTTATTTGCAAGGCAAGAAGCAAATGACTAGATACCCACAAAGTCCATCCCACACCCATGATTCTGCAACGATAAGCTAATCTAGGATGGAACAGTGAAGGAAGCTGGTGAGGCTGTGGGTTGCTTCCAATTAAAAGGAATACAAAACAACAAACCCCTGTGTTGCAAACTTAAGCACAACAAACAATGCAAGCAACACGAAGACCAGTATACTAGATAGCACTGGAATTCTGTGTGAAGTTTATATAGTTTTCATGTACACAGGTCACTGTTTCATATTTGAATTCTTTTGTAGTTGTGCTGAAGAAGATTCCAGCGAAACAGTCAGATTATCCGGGATCACTGTCCTCCGTTGTTATTCACTTACTACTTCGGCACCATGTTTTACCGCTTAGCCCACAGGATAGCATCTATTACTTTCTTTCAACTATAGACTTATTATACTTCTACGGACTTTCAAAGATTGACAGGCGTGTGTTCATTTGATTTCAAATATATTAGAGAATTTACAAGTGTACACATTTTGTTTTGGTTGTACTAAATCATGTATATCACGCAATAAGAATGACTGTGTTATCCAATTAAAAGGAAGCATAGAGAGCACAGAACTGTCCTAGCGGGTATGGCGATGTCTATTGCAGACATATGCGCACCCAATCAGATTACAGACCTGGTTCTTCCATGTGGGCAATGATCCAGTTGAAAGCCACCTCAGCACCCATGTTGCCTGTATAGTAGACAGCCTTACGGCATGCTTCCAGTGGAAAACCCATCTCGGCTAGCTGCATCACTGAGGATTCATCAATATCTGGAGCTGAGAGAGAGAGGACATTCCCAATGTGAGAAGCTGTCAAACAAAACAAGAGCAAAGCAAAACACCACCCTACCCCATCAATGGGCAGGGCTTTGTGTTTCAACTGTGGCACAAAATGTGCAGTTTTCATAGAATTGAGAACCTGCAATATGCTGCCCATTTCTAAACCTTTCTGGCCTTCATAACTGTAATAAAAAGGTTGAGGCAGCATCTGTTGGAAACTCCAACTATCCAGTAAAAAGAGAAAGACGGTTAACTTTACATCTCTATATCCCTTCCCATGGCTGCCACCATCCTTACTCTCACCTCTAATATTAATCACTCATCTTTTTTTCCATTTCTGAGCCCAGTCCTGATTTTGAGGTTTCCAAATGCCGAAAATGCCTTTTAATTCTCACACACTTTGCATGCTTAGCAGATCTGCTCTCCTGTTAATTTGTTCAAATTGTAACGTTCACGCTTTAAAAAAAAATCTTGTCCAGAACACACAACCCTAGAATTAGTGTGCATGGAATGTCACATTCAATTTTATACTTGCTAAGACCAGCAGACAACTGAACATCTGTGCAACTTTCTACAATGATCTTGCATTTACACAGGCTCAGTTTCGCTCTAAAGAATAACACAGCATAAATCACTCAGAGAAATATGGACACGCACTACTGAGATGCAAGCACATAAATGGTTATGAGAGCCTACAAAGATCATTTGAGGCATTTGCTATTCCCTATGCTAAGACAAAGGAACATTTCAGAGGGTTAGCAACGCTAGCTTCCCAAGTTTTCTGTACCACAGCTACTCCAAATTTTAAGGTTTACATTACTGGAGTCTCAGCAACAGATTTGCCACTAAGGTTTGGCAAAAGGGTGAGCTGAAGGCAATAGCTTCAGTCAATTTAAGCTCAGACAGGATTGCCAATGTCCACAGGAATCCGCAATTCCATTGTGGGATGTATGTGTGTAAGGCAGAATGCAAAGTGAGGGCAACTTCCAATAGTCTTGGAACCATAATCTATTGCACAGCTGGAAGCAGACATTTCTTAGGACACTCTGGCCCTTAGCACTAAAAGCCAGCCACTTGAGCAAATTGGCATAGGGAATACAGAATGAAGACCATAATATTAGCTTCAGGTGAGCCATTAACTGTCATGCAAACAGCCCCAATATTCCAGGTGCAACAGCAGTGCTCTGTCTACTAGACAGCTAAGGCTGGAAGTCTTCAAATTAACGCAGAGCGAGGGACCTCTAGTCCAGAGAACATTCCCATCTCACCTCTGGGCCTCTCCCCAGTCGACCCTGCCCACTTCCTCAGTCCCACAATGCTTTTCGCAACCCTTTGGCGTTAGGTTTAATGTTTTATATTTCTACTTGCTGGGTTATGTTGGCATTGGGCATCCCGGTTGTGGTGTGCCCCTCCCCAGAGAGGCTCACCTGGCATGTTCCTTGTGGTTATTTTCACATGATGTAAAGTTTTTTAAAAAAATTCTCAGGACTTTTTTTAAAAACCTGCAATATTTATGTTTTGAATCACTGCTTGAATAATGTTATTGGGCAGCCTATATAAAATACCAAAAATCAACAATTATTTTTTTTTAACAATCAATTATGCAATTCTCCCACCACCATATTCAGGCACATTCCAAGGTGATTTGATTCAATTCAATGGGGATTTGTTAAAAAGCTAAATCTGCTCCTCTTTATTCCCATCTGGCAAACTGGGCCTTGGGGGTCAGAAGATGTTCGTTTGCAGAAAAAGAAAATATGTCTCTCAATGGCCAAATGGAATCTCCAGTACACATACATTTAAATATTAAAGCATAAATCCTGGCAGCACAAAATCATCAACAGATGCAATTAGCTTGCACATGCACCATTCTTTAGCAATAAACTCTCCTTACTGGCCAATCTGGAAATGTATGGAATGTAGTAACTCACACATTTAATGTTTTTTTCTGAAATATGGGACGAAGGGGCAAACCAGCCATTCAATCAATGCTGCTCTGAGCATATTAAGTCAGAGAATACTTTTAGCAACAACTAATTAAACACTTACACATTCCTCAGTCATTTACACCTGAAGAATACACTACATCTAAGCTTTGCACCACTAGGAAGCCAGAACAAACAACGAGGGAGAGCTCTTGTCATCAAGCCCTACTTTGTAGGCTTTCCAGAAGTATTTGGCTGGCTACTGTTGGAAGCAAAAGACTGTTTCATGGGTTCGATCCAACAAGGCTATTCCAGTGGCAATACATAAATCTGATGCTCCGTCCAATGTGGGAGCAAAGAATTATGCCAAAGAAAATTAGCATACCCAAGCCTTGAACCAATTGTGAGGGAGTAAAGATGAAGACGATTCCAACACAGGAGAGCAGTCCTTGATGTCTCCCTGGTACTTTTCACATCTTCCACCAAATAATCAAGCAAACATTAAGAACAGGTTGGAAGACATTCAAAACAATGGCGCAATTAAAGGCCCAAAGAGAAGAGCTTCCATGCATCTCTCTACAGACAGAGAGCCCCTGTGCAGCAGCAAATAAGTTCACTAAAACAGCCTTAAAAATAAAATAAAGCCAACATAATGAAATGAAATACATACGCTCCATGAAATGGTTCGTCATGCCATCTGAAAGTGAAGAAGGCAAAGTGAGGGAGTGTGCATTGGGATGGCGAGAGAGAGGAAGCTGGCCAGTTCTGCGCTGGGTGCAAACACTAGATCCCATCACTGCTATAGAGTCAAGGCCTTGTTCGGACATTAGATGTGCTTGTTTCCATAAGACTAGGGCTTCAGATCTGGCCATGGGGATCTGTGCCATTGGCCTAACCAATTATGCTCAGCCCACCTTCCCCTGCTTCTTTGCATGGGTGTGTGCACACACCTGCAGGCTGACCACATCTATGCATCTCCTCTAAATCAGGTCCTCGATCTTCTATGTACTTTGTGGCCCACCAGAACTACCCCAATCCCTATTCTTGAGTAGGCTTCGTTGATCCTGGGCTCCCCATTCTCCATTGCTTGTTCCTCATATTACTTCCAGATTGGGTCTTCGGAGCTCAGTCTCAATTCCTGCCTGCACACCGTGCAAAATTTTGTCAAGGAATGGAATCCCACTTACTAAACCAGGAAACAGGCCTCAATTCTATAACTGGCTACTTCTCTCACACCCATGAGCCCAGCGCCCAATGGCTGCGGTGCAAAGGATGTGCCATGGAGATGTTGGAGCTTGTCGTCCCAGAAGAAGTCCCATGTGAACAGGCAGGGAGCAAAAGTGACAAAGGAACAGAAAAGAAGTTCAACTAACAGTTGTGGTGGAGAATGGTGGGGGAGTAGAGATCCTCGTGGTAGCAGGCAGTACCTTTGGGGTCATCAGGAATGATAATGGGTGGAGAGATATCTGGGAGCTCCTCCTCTCCTGGTTGGAGGCCTGTGGCACGGAGGTGGCTGATGTCCAGAAGATCTGGCATGTCTATGGAAACATCTGCAAACACAGCAGGGCAAATAAGCCTATAGATGCACAGCTAATACGTTACAGGAACATGGGGGGGGGAGGCTCAGTTAATTTTATTGTACACAGGTTGTACATTGACAATAAAGTTATTATTCAAGCACGCTCCTATACTCAGCTCCCCAAACCCAGTGCTTTAGTCCTAAACCAAAAAAAAAAAGTAGGGACTGATTCTCCATAACAATGGTTTCTGTGCTCTCAGGGAATCCCATGAAACCTTACAGGAGAACCCAGGACAATTGAATATCAAACAGAATATTCAGAGCACATACCAAGCTTCTTAGGTATCCAATCCAAGCCAAAAGTGAACTTCTTTATCTGTACTACCAGGTACTCGGGAAATGAGGCAAAGCGAGAGGTTCTGGAAACAAAAGCAATTTCATGTGAATGAAGCTGAGCCATAGGAATGCAAAACCAAAAGAGTGCTGCACTCAAAAACAGATTCATGCTGGAAGAATGGAAGGAGACTGAAGGATCCGTATTGGGACCAGTGACTTTTAATTTGTTCAAAAGCAATCTGGAGTCTGGTCTGATCCAGGAGGAATCCTTTTATGTACTCAATACGTAGCTGGGAGCGGGGATTTGGAGGCAATGGGGAGCAAGGAAAAGCCAGTCCCCACAAACACAGATACAAAGGTTCCTGAATTTAATCCTATTTTTATTTGCATTCCCAAGCCATTCAGGAGGCTGCGATTGAAGCTTCTTAAGGACATCTCACTCTCTTAACATGCATACCCATGTATAGGACAAACTGCACTCACTTAACTCCAGCAGACTTGGCTTGAAGGGCACTGCTCCAGAAGTCTTCTACATTATCTGGTTCTGAAAAGGCCTGCAAACAGGCACTAAAAGGGATTTTGGCACGTACAAGCTCCGGCAGGGGCCTCCTTGCAGTTTCAGCTTCTCTCCTCTTCAATTCGTAAGCAATCAGTTCATCTAACCAGGAACACAAGCAACAACAGAGGGCCACTGCGTGTGGAGAATGGACAACCTTATGTGAGGCACTCAGATAATAAATACTGCATTCTCACATGCAGTCTCCCTCAAGTTTCTCCCCTCACTAACCATATGCATGGTTTGTTATTTTGATATCTAGGATTTACAGTTAAGGCTGAAGTTGGTTAGGAAGACATAGTAAGCTGCCTCATACCAAGTCCAGACAAATCAGTTTTGTCTACACAGATTGGCAGTAACCCTCTTGGTTCCAGGTAGGTGTCTTTCCCAGCCTTGCCTGAAGAAACTAGAGATGAGTTATGACCTTTTCCCAGAGGTCAGTCAGCGTGGACAATTCTGAGCTGGATAGACCAATGGTCTGACACAAGACAAGGCAATTTCCTGTGTCACCATTCCCCCATGATGCAATATACAGAACAAAGGGGAACGTTGGGTGCACTCAACTGTCACTTCAAACAGGTCAGCAGTATTGCCCAACAGGCCTGACTAGTGCCATGCCTGAAAATAATCATCTAACACTCTGGGGTTCCATCTCAGCTAACACAGAAGAGGTTCCCTCAATGTGCAAATTCCCACTGATCGTCATGAAGCATTCCACTTAATCCATCTGGTCTCAGACTTTCAGGATATTTTAAAGGACAGCATTTCAGGTATTTTGCATCACAGTAAAACTAAGGATGGTATCACACATGCATGTGTGTGGCGCTGTGGGTTAAACCTCAGGGCCTAGGACTTGCCGATCAGAAGGTCGGCGGTTCGAATCCCCACGATGGGGTGAGCTCCTGTTGCTCGGTCCCTGCTCCTTAAAACCTAGCAGTTCGAAAACACGTCAAAGTGCAAGTAGATGGTACCACTCCGGCAGGAAGGTAAACGGCATTTCCGTGCGCTGCTCTGGTTCGCCAGAAGCGGCTTAGTCATGCTGGCCACATGACCCGGAAGCTGTACGCCGGCTCCCTTGGCCAATAAAGCGAGATGAGCGCCGCAACCCCAGAGTCAGTCACGACTGGAGCTAATGGTCAGGGATCCCTTTGCCTTTACTTTAGAGGCTGGGTGAATGAACTGGTTTCTCTCTCTCTCTCTCTCTCTCTCTCTCTCTCTCTGGGCAAAGTTTTATCTGTGAAGTTAAATCTAGTTAAATCTGTAAGGGCTTATTCACACATGCAAGCCATTGTGATGCAGAAATAACATGCATGTGTGAATAAACTGAGCTGAACCCAGAAGTTTCTTCTGGGGGACGCAAAAACCAACACATGCAAAGTAGCCTAATTCCCGCCTAACCTTTGTTCACTGCAGCTTCCATTGCTACAGGCAACTGCATGAGATAGTCCACCCTCTCGGTATATCGGACTTTCCTGGACTGGCAGCACTGTGTACGTTCTTCCACCAAGAACCGGAAGACATCGGTCGGGTTTTCTGAACCAATAGGGTTCCTCTGAAGGGAGAAAACAGGTCAGACCTCTTGGACAATCATGACAGCGCAAGAATAACCAGGCCACATGCAAAGATCCAAAGTACATCTCCTTGTTGTCCTAGTTTCTCAGCTGGGGTGATGCTGACAAGAAGCTAAGGAGAGCCTGCTGAATCAAGGCAAAGGCCTATCTAGTCCAGCATCTTGTTCTCACAGTGGCCAACCAGATGTCTGTGGGAATCTAGGGAGCAGAACATGAGCACAAGAGCACTCTCCCCTCCCGTGGTTTCAAGCAACTGGTATTCAGAAGTGTTGCTGGTGATAGGAAGGAGCCACACTGAAGCTGTTCCCATATTCTCACAATAACATAGGAAGAGTAGTTTAGTTTTAACACTCGAAGCACTAAGACATTAAGAGTCCAAACTGACATACTACCTCTTCAGCGTGAAATTTCAACAGCCATATTGAAAACTTGCAATTGTCATGACTGATACCTATTACATTTTAGGGGATGTTTTATGTCTCAAAAGCATCACACAGAGTACAAGACAGGCAGAAATTTAAATTTCTCACACTCCAAAAGGAAGAAATGATAAGAAGAGCCTGCTGGATCAAGGCCAATGGCTCAACTAGTTCAGCATCACAAGTTAATCCTGATCATTAATTTTAACAGGTCTACTCTGAGTAGGGGGACGCGGGTGGCGCTGTTGGTTAAGCCACAGAGCTTAGGACTTGCCGATCAGGAGGTCGGCGGTTCGAATCCCCAAGACGGGGTGAGCTCCTATTGCTCGGTCCCTGCTCTTGCCAACCTAGCAGTTCAAAAGCACAAAGTGCAAGTAGATAAATAGGTACTGCTCTGGTGGGAAGGTAAACAGCGTTTCTGTGCACTGCTCTGGTTCGCCAGAAGCGGCTTAGTCATGCTGGCCACATGACCTGGAAGCTGTACACCGGCTCCCTCAGCCAATAAAGCGAGATGAGCGCCACAACCCCAGAGTCAGTCACGACTGGACCTAATGGTCAGGGGTCCCTTTGCCTTTGCCAACTCTGAGTAGGACTCGCATTGACTACAACCCCTACCTTGCAATCAAGTAGTACCGACACAACTGGATGGTGGGAAATAATCTTTTATTTCTGCACTACAATGCTCTATGGGCACAACTGTGAAAGTTTCTCTGGCCTTGTCATCAGTGTCCAAGAAAAAAAAGCTTTCAGTAAGTACTTATCTCCCATGTCAATACTTAAGAGGCTCATGAATTGATTTTTATTAATTTATTTCATGGAACTCCTCAAGATAAAATATGATAAGGCACTACACGTCAATTCACTCAATTGATTTATCTGAAAGGAAATGTCCCGATTTCGCTGAATTAGTTGCTGGAAATAGACTCTGCTAACCCAGCAATTAATTATTATTATTACTATTATTTTGTAAAGATCAAAGAATCATCTCCCTTTCTTCCGTTGTCTTCCCTACTGCTGTGGCTCACCCTGGGACCTGGTGGTGAAGTCCGCGTAATAAATCTAACAGCAGCAGCAGCAGCAAGATTTCCAGTGTAAGCTCCTTGGGGCAAAGACACATCTTATTTTGCTGATGTAAATCGACAAAGGTGCCATGTACACCTCTGGTACCACGCCAATCGATCCATCATTTTACACCAAAACTACTATACTGTACAGTAGGAAGTAGGTGGTTGTGGGTTAAACCACAGAGAGCCTAGGGCTTGCCGATCAGAAGGTCGGCGGTTCGAATCCCTGCGACAGGGTGAGCTCCCGTTGCTCGGTCCCTGCTCCTGCCAACCTAGCAGTTCGAAAGCACATCAAAGTGCAAGTAGATAAATAGGTACCGCTCCGGCCAGAAGCTAAACGGTGTTTCCATGCACTGCTCTGGTTCGCCAATAGCGGCTTAGTCATGCAGGCCACATGACCCAGAAGCTGTACGCCGGCTCCCTCAGCCAATAAAGCGAGATGAGCGCCGCAACCCCAGAGTCGGTCATGACTGGACCTAATGGTCCCTTTACCCTTTACCTTACTATACGCTAAGACTAAGACCATGTCATTACCGAGGAGGCAGGTTTAGTCGTTGTCTGAGGACTATCCCTGCCTCCAGGTCTGGTCCTGACCGGAAGGATACTGGAATCAGCAAGGGAAACCCACATGACCTGAAAGTGTTGCTGTGCAATGCCAGGTCAATGATGAATAAAACCACTGCCATCCACGACCTGATTGTGGATGGAGGATTTGACCTGGCATGTGTGACAGAGACCTGGTTGGATGAAGCAGATGGGCCTGTCCTTGCCGCTGCTTGCCCACCAGGCTTCTCTTACGCACAGCAACCCAGGTCATGTGGGCGGGGAGGGGGGGTTGCAGTGATTTTTAGGAAGTCATTAGTCTGCACCAGGCGTCCTATTGGGAAGACCCAGTTCTCTGAGTGCATGTTCTGGAAGTTGGGCAATAGGGGCAGTACAGGATTCCTACTGGTGTACCGACCTCCCCGCTGCACCAAGGATTCCCTGCCCGAGCTGCTTCAGGTCGTGGCGGATATGCTCCTGGAGACACCTAGCTTGGTTGTCCTGGGGGATTTTAACATCCATGCCGACACGACCTTACAAGGGGCCGCTCGGGACTTCGTGGAAAGCATGGCCTCCATGGGGCTGTCCCTGAATAAGTTTGGCCCAACTCATAGCCATGGACATGCCTTAGACTTGGTGTTCACCTCTATGGATGTTGGTGATCTGACACTAACTAAAAGCGAAACAAAAGAAGTGCCATGGTCAGATCACTTCCTGGTGCAACTGGACTTCTCTGCAACCCTTCCCCTCTGCAGGGAGGTGGGACCGATTCGGATGGTCCGCCCCCGCCACTTAATGGATCCAATTGGCTTCCAGAGAGTGGTAGGGGATGCTTTATCCCAAGTTGATGGCCTTTCAGCTGATTCCCTGGTGGCACGCTGGAATGCGGAGTTAACCAGGGCTATTGACTGTCTGGCTCCGAAGCGCCCTCTCCGATTGCATGGAGCCCGGACAGCCCCGTGGTTTCCCCCGGAGCTGAGGGTGATGAAACAATCGTTGAGACGGCTAGAGCGCCGGTGGCGGAAAACTCATTCTGAATCAGACCGGACACGGGTTAGAGCTCAATGTCGAGCCTACCAAGTGGCAATGGCGACGGCGAAGAGGGCCTTCTTCGCCGCCTCCATTGCATCTGCAGAAAACAGCAGCAGGAGACTTTTTCAGGTGGTTCGCAATCTATCGGAACCACCTGTACCACCGGGGCCTGGTAGGGACCCCAAGATCTCCTGCAATGCTTTTGCAAAGTTTTTTGCAGATAAAATCGCTCAGATTCAGAAGGAGGTAGACTCCACCGTGGGAGCAGGGCCAGGGCGGGAGAGTGCTAGAGTTCTGTCTGGTCCTGTTACATGGGATCAATTCCAGTCTGTTACCTCCGAGGATGTGGACAGGCTGCTTGGACAAGTGAAACCGACCACCTGTCTCCTTGATCCTTGCCCATCCTGGCTGATAAAAGCGAGCCGGGAAGGGCTGGGCGATGGGCTCTGCGGGGTGGTGAATGCTTCCCTCTGTGAGGGAGCCTTCCCAGACCCGCTGAAAGAGGCGGTCATTAAACCGCTTCTTAAAAAAACATCTTTAGACCCGGCCAATTTGGCCAACTATCGCCCAGTCTCAAATCTGCCATTCTTGGGCAAGGTGATTGAGCGGGTGGTTGCTGAACAACTCCAAGCACGCCTGGAGGATGCGGACCATTTTGATCCCTTCCAATCGGGATTCAGGCCTCACCATGGGACTGAAACTGCCTTGGTTGCGCTGGTTGATGATCTCCGGCGGGCTAGGGACAAAGGTGAGAGCTGTTTCCTAGTTCTGCTGGATCTCTCAGCGGCCTTTGACACCATCGACCATAACATCCTTCTGGACCGTCTAGAGGGGTTGGGAGCTGGGGGCACTGTCATACAGTGGTTCCGCTCCTTCCTCCTGGGCCGTGTCCAGAAAGTGGTGGTGGGGGATGAGTGTTCAGACCCCTGGGCTCTCACTTGTGGGGTGCCTCAGGGTTCTGTCCTCTCCCCCATGCTTTTTAATATCTATATGAAGCCGCTGGGAGAGATCATCAGGGGGTTTGGACTGGGTGTTCATCAGTACGCAGATGACACCCAGCTCTACCTCTCCTTTAAATCAGAACCAGTGAAGGCGGTGAAGGCCCTGTATGAGTGCCTGGAGGCGGTAGGAGGATGGATGGCGGCTAACAGACTGAGGTTGAATCCTGACAAGACAGAAGTACTGTTTTTGGGGGACAGGGAGCGGGTTGGTGTGGGGGATTCCCTGGTCTTGAATGGGGTAACTGTGCCCCTAAAGGACCAGGTGCGTAGCCTGGGAGTCATTTTGGACTCACAGCTGTCCATGGAGGCGCAGGTTAACTCTGTGTCCAGGGCAGCTGTCTACCAGCTCCACCTGGTACGCAGGCTAAGACCCTACCTACCCGCGAACTGTCTCGCCAGAGTGGTGCATGCTCTAGTTATCTCACGCTTGGACTACTGCAACGCGCTCTACATGGGGCTACCTTTGAAGGTGACCCGGAAACTGCAATTAATCCAGAATGCGGCAGCTAGACTGGTGACTGGGAGTGGCCGCCGGGACCATATAACACCGGTTCTGAGAGACCTGCATTGGCTCCCAGTACGTTTCCGAGCACGATTCAAAGTGTTGGTGCTGACCTTTAAAGCCCTAAACGGCCTCGGTCCTGTATACCTGAAGGAGCGTCTCCACCCCCATCATTCAGCCCGGACACTGAGATCCAGCGCCGAGGGCCTTCTGGCGGTTCCCTCATTGCGAGAAGTGAGGCTACAGGGAACCAGACAGAGGGCCTTCTCGGTAGTGGCGCCCACCCTGTGGAACGCCCTCCCATTAGATGTCAAAGAGATAAATAATTACCTGATATTCAGAAGACATCTTAAGGCAGCCCTGTTCAGGGAAGTTTTTAATATGTAACGCTGTACTGTTTTAACACTGATTGGGAGCCGCCCAGAGTGGCTGGGGAAACTCAGCCAGATGGGCGGGGTATAAATAATAAATTATTATTATTATTATTATTATTATTATTATTATTATTATTATTATTATACTGTACAAGACTAACATAGCATTTTTGTCTGATACAAACAAAGACAAGACAAGTAGTGACTAACCCTTGCTCACCTCTATGAGATGTATAAGGTGCAGGAGAAACTCCTGTGCATCTTGCTGCCGATTGGAGGAGAATTCAGGGTGCCCTTTGCTTACGAAAGCTTTGAACATGCGAGGAGAGATGCCATTGTGCTGAGGCTAAAAAAACAGAATAAAATATGCCATGACGCTTTGTAATTAATGCTTTGGTGCATGTGACAAAAACGGCGTTTGTACCACTGTTATGGTCCTCCTTCCCATCTTTCTCAGTATCAAGTTACCCAAAGAGCTATTCCCATTGGGAGAGGAACAGATTTAATTATTAACCCAATGGTACACATGGGAAGTTTAGGGATGAACTGGTGCAATTCACAACACCGCTTCAGGTCTTCAGGTACCCCCACAATCCCAGAAAAAGACGAAATGTCATGCATGTGTGACTCCAAATGTACATAACGACATCACATAATTTGCAATAAAGCAGGGCTATTATTAATTTTAGTTTAGTTATGGTTGTTTTAGGTAACACTCCTCCTGCCCATCTATTAAATGGACAGGGACCAGCCTGCACCAACACACCTTACAGGGATTGTCTTTACATTTCCCCATATCTATGGAATGATTTCAGGGAGGTGAAGGGAGATACTGGGAATTCTGAAAACTATTTTGGGCAGTACGCATATGCCCTCCACTGCCCTGCAGACAGAAGTCAGAACAAAACTCCAGCTACCTTGTATGCTGCTTAGTTCTGTGTCAGAAAGCTTTAGAAAAAATAATATAATATTAAAAAATCAAACCTGCCAGGCCACAGGCACCATAGGTCAATGCTGCTTTCACGCAATGCAAGTAGGGCAGCATTATTTATCTATTTCGTTTCATTTCTGAATGAGGCATCTCAAAGCCATTGACAATATAAACACATATAGCAAAAACATTTAAAAACATGTTTAAAAAATGATTATAAATATAAAAATTGGAATGGCACATACACAAAAATCAATCCAAAACACAAGGCAAGGTAACAGCCAGGATAAAGATTTCAGAAGGTTTGTTGAAAGAGGGACGTATCAAGATTCAAGGGTTTTTAGGTAAGCCAGCATGGTCAGTGATTGGAGATGGTGGGAGCTGTAGACCTTGTCTTCCGGAAAGCACATGGGTAAGGGGCAGGAGGAATGCAGATGCACGAACTGTTAAAGGTAAAGGTAAAGGTACCCCTGCCCGTACGGGCCAGTCGTGTCTGACTCTAGGGTTGTGCGCTCATCTCACTTAAGAGGCCGGGAGCCAGCGTTGTCCGAAGACACTTCCGGGTCACGTGGCCAGTGTGACTAAGCTGCACTGGCGAGCCAGCACCAGTGCCGCACACGGAAACGCCGTTTACCTTCCCGCTATAAAGCGGTCCCTATTTATCTACTTGCACTTTGACGTGCTTTCGAACTGCTAGGTGGGCAGGAGCTGGGACCGAACGACGGAAGCTCACCCCGCCACGGGGTTTCGAACTGCCGACCATACGATCGGCAAGTCCTAGGCACTGAGGTTTTACCCACAGCGCCACCCGCATCCTGACACAAACTGTTGGGCCAGGAGAACTGGGAACCTGGGCAATGCAATGCTGGACGCATTCACACTATGGGCTGAAACTGATTTAATAGCCATCCCCTCTTGTGAAGCCTGTAGTTTTGTTTGCATGAGAGAAGGATAAGAACACGTGAAGAACTCTGGCAGATCAGATCAAGGGTCCATCTGGTTAGGGCATGAAGGCTATTGCTCTTCTGCCATGTTTGCTCTTGCTCTTGGTATTGACAAACACGGAAGATGCTGGCTGCGGCTCATGAGAGGTGTAATCCAACCTCTTGAGGGCACCATGTTTGCTACCCTTGAACACTCCCCTCCTTATACCACCCTCCCCCAAATCTCCTGTTTATTATTTACTTTGGTAAACCGTCCTCTATGGAATTTCCTTCTCCTGCCAAGCTCATCTGCTGCAGTGCACAGGCAGATTTTAAAGTGTGTGTGTGTGTGTGTGTGTGTGTGTGTTTGGTTGGTTTTGTGTGGGAGGGGGAGAGAGAGAGAGAAAGAGTGCGCGTGCACACACACACACACACACACACACACACTGAGAGCAAACAAGAGAGAAAATTCTGGCAACGCTTTCCCCATCAACAGTTGCAAAACCGTTTAGCTAAAAATAAGCTGGGTCAGATCATTCAATCTCTCACATGAACGCTTTGGGCAGGAGGCGCCCAATGACGTCGTCCAACGATGGATGGATTCCAAAGATGCAAGAAATTAAAATATACAGCAGCTCTCTATGAAGTGTGTTAACAGGCACCATGTAATGTGCCACGGTATCAGTGTGAAAAACAAGGTAGATATATCCGAGTAAATCTGATGGACCATTTTTACACTAAACTTGGCATTGCCTGTCAGAAATAAGAGTGTGAGGAAGAAAATGTAAAATTAATCACAGCTATGACGCTTCTGTTTCGACTGCATTGCCTCTCATGATGGGAGTGCATTAATATGAACTAAAGCTGAAATGTGCTCCTTTCCTAAATAGGTTTTGAACTTACGTTTTTCATGGGGTGGAGGAGGGGGCAGGCAAACAGGTAGTTCCACTGAGATGGTCAGAGAAAGCAGTTTGCCCAATAAGTTACTCTGGATTCACACATAATATGAAAGTCGTGATTTTGTACAGGTAGCCCGAGAGATTGGGGCAGAAGGGGGCAGTAACATGGAGAGAAAGGAAACCATCCTTCAACTGCAACACAGAGAATTGGATGGTGAAGCTTTGCAAAACATCAGCAACGGGATTTGCATTTGTCTTGTTTTGTTTCTGTGGGTTATATAGGCAGAAAACTCTTTGGCTGCACTGAGTTTGGGAGTTTGGGCACCCCAGCCCACATTGGTTAGGAGGCTCCGCTGATGCCTCTCATCCAGTCCTCTGCCCATGTCCAAGTCAAAGCACCCTTTACTCCACCGATCACACAGAGGCTCAACACTTTCCTCATCAATAAATAATAATAATAATAATAATAATAATAATAATAATAATAATAATAATTTATTTATTTATTTATATCCCGCCCTCCCCAGCCGAAGCCAGGCTCAGAGCGGCTAACAACAGTAAAATAATACAGCATTCTAAAATCATTTCATTCTAAAATCAGTTCAAAGCAAATTAATGGCAACCATTGGGCTAGAGTTCTGTGAGGATTACCAAAGGAGGGGGTCAGACTGAACCCTGGCCAAAGACCTGGTGGAACAGCTCTGTCTTGCAGGCCCTGCAGAAAGATATCAAGTCCCGCAGGGCCACAGCCGAAAAAGCCCTGGCTCTGGTTGAGGCCAGCCTAACCTCTCTGTGGCCCGGGACCTCCAAGATGTTTTTGTTTGAAGACCATAAGGTCCTCCGTGGGACATACCAGGAGAGGCGGTTCCGTAGGTACGAGGGTCCTAGGCCGTATAGGGCTTTAAAGGTTAAAACCAGCACCTTGAACCTGATCCTGTACTCCACTGGGAGCCAGTGCAGCTGCTATAGCACCGGGTGAATGTGATCTCGCAGCGAGGACCCCATAAGGAGTCTCGCCGCGGCATTCTGCACCTGCTGGAGTTTCTGGGTCAGTCTCAAGGGCAGCCCCACGTAGAGTGAGTTATAATAATCCAGTCTGGAGGTGACCATTGCGTGGATCACAGTGGCTAGATCAGGGCGAGAGAGGTAAGGAGCCAACTGCTTAGCTTGGCGGAGATGAGAAAATGTGCCTCTTCATCGACGCAGCAACTCCACCAAATAGCGTGACCCTTGGGAAAAGGCTACTGTAAACATGATGTTGATCCAAGGCGGGAATGGCAAGAGTGGTTTTGCACTGCCACAAAACCCCACTCTTGGCCTAACTTCAACAACACAATTGTTGTGAAGGTAAAACAAAATTCCATGAATGTTACTCCAGAGTTACTATCCAGAGGATAGGCAGGATACAAATGTGGGAAGCAAAGAGGCATGCATGCCCATAACTTCTCTCTAGTGCTGAAAGACAGGGCAGCTGCGGTTTCTCCCATTCCCTCAGCCAGAAGGCAATAATAGGGGGTGGATGAAGAGTAGTAAAAGAAAACCCATTGAGAAAGATCACCACTACTGGCTCCCATCCTGGCTTGAGCCAGTCGTACACATGTTCTACTATGCTTGGGGTTCAGATTTTGGAACACCACTAAAAACAACCAAGAAGCAAGATGTGAACATCAAAACACTTCATATGTTGGCAGAGGCAACGCAGCCACCTCATCACGGACCAGGAGCTAAAATGCACAGGCTCTCCCTAGAACTAATTTGCGCCCAGTTGGTGGTGTGAATAAGCTCCAATTCTCCCTACCTTCTTTAGGGACTCTATAAACTGAGGACTGCTATTAAAGAATTGTTAGCTAATCGATAAACCAACCATAAAGAAGGCTGATCGCCGAAGAATGGATGCTTTTGAGTTATGGTGCTGAAGGAGATTCTTGAGAGTCCCATGGACTGCAAGAAGATCAAACGTATCCATTCTTAAGGAAATCAGCCCTGAGTGCTCACTGGAAGGACAGATCCTGAAGCTGAGGCTCCAATACTTTGGCCACCTCATGAGAAGAGAATAATCCCTGGGAAAGACCCTAGTGTTGGGAGAGATGGAGGGCACAAGGAGAAGGGGAAGACAGAGGACGAGATGGTTGGATGGTGTTCTTGAAGCTACCAGCATGAGTTTGACCAAACTGCAGGAGGCAGTGGAGGACAGAAGTGCCTGGCGTGCTCTGGTCCATGGGGTCACGAAGAGTCGGACACGACTAAACGACTAAACAACAACAAACCAACCACATTTAAATAAATTTTCGTTTTAGCAAAGCCTCCATACAGCTGCTTTTCTTTGGATCCTGAGGAGTGCAATAGCTTAGACTTTAATAAAGAAAAGCTGTCACTATCATTTAGAAAGGAAATGCCATCTTTGGGACTATCTTGCTGCTAAACAAATATACAGTGGTACCTCAGGTTACAGACGCTTCAGGTTACAGACTCTGCTAACCCAGAAATAGTGCTTCAGGTTAAGAATTTTGCTTCAAGATGAGAACAGAAATCGTGCTCCAGCGGCGCAGCAGCAGCAGGAGGCCCCATTAGCTAAAGTGCTGCTTCAAGTTAAGAACAGTTTCAGGTTAAGAACGGACCTCCGGAAAAAATTAAGTACTTAACGTGAGGTACCACTGTAGCCCTAATTAGCAACTTGAATGGGTGACCACTAAGAACCCAGTTCAGGGAAAGATGTATTTTTAATAATAATAATAATAGGTACAGGAGGTGAGTCCTTTAAAAAAAGATGGGGGTTATGCCATCTTTAAAATTTTGTATTTAATCCCTTATTTAAGCAGGAACATACCAGAACCAAAACAGCCTTCCAAAAGCAGAAGGTGTGTATCTTTAACTCTTGGCCTTAGCCCATTAGAATTTGCCTTAGCTGACTAAAATTAGCTTTGAGTAATTACTCAGTTCAAAGTTTTAAGCTTTTTTAAAAAAAATGTGTTGCAGATTTAAAATGATTTCAAACAAACAATTACTCTTCTGGTTGAACTTGCAACCCTGCTATAAATACACCACTGCGTTTACTCTGAGTAGTTCTTCCAGGAACAAAAATTCCTCTCCAGCGACTGCATCTCCTGTATCCATTACATGGTGACCTTTCCTTTCCAAACACACCACCTTAGAAAGGGAGAGGCAGGGTGGGGACATTGTGAGTTTCCAAGTTTTAGGGTAACAAAAGATTGACAGCGACACAAAACGCTAACTGGACACAAGCTGAACTATGTCAGACAGTGTCCTAATAAAAGCAAAGATTATACAGCAGGCAGCCATAAATATATCAATTTTTTTAATCCCCCAGTGGGCCAAACATACTAGCTCCAAGCACTGCTTACAGAATGCAACAATGCTGCCTCAGTAAAGGAAAGATAAACAGAAGGCTGTCCTCAACCGCTCAGAGGTGCTAAAGTCAAATCTGTGCTGCGTTCCTCGCTGCAGTTCTTAAAAATATTCAGGTTTGTCCTGTTTCTATATGCATTTGCTCTGGCTAGGACTCTGGGCTGCTTTTGGGGTATATCTGCCACCAGCAGTTATCAGGCTTTCTGCCTTCAGGGCTTCCTTCCACACTGAGTCACCTTGGCAAGAAACCACAGCAGATTTGCTACGGCACTGCCAATGCATTATAGATTGTGTCTAAGAACATGTTCTGGGGAGCCATGCTCAGCTGATGCAGGGCACAGACCAGATTTGTCGGCAGAGGCGTAGCTAGGTGGGGGGCGCCACAACACGGCGGGCGGCACTTACCGCAGGGCCTGCAGGCACCCTAGCCACGCATCTCTCTTGGGTGGCTTGGGTGCCTGCAGGCTCTGCGCTGCCCAAAACAGCAGCATGGGGCTTGCGTCTGCCCGCCTCCCCCAGGCTCAGCCTCCCTACAGCTGTAGGTGAGGTGGCAGTGAGGCTCCACGCAGCATGCCACGCCCAGTGGGCAGCTTGCCCCACCCCCACGGGCAGCTTGCCCTGGGCACCCAAGCAGCTAGCTACGCTGTTGCCTGTATGCCTCTTCTGTTAGAATTCCTGCTCCATGATTGCAGTCATGGGATTTTTGTCTTTCACATGACGGTGTATGTTTTGACTCCACACAGTGGGAAGTGACGGAGACAGGATGTTTGTGTTACTGTGTTCCGTGAAGTGGGACTATTGTCCTTTGTTCTTTTTCTCTTTGCTGTCTGATGCTAGAGAGAGAGGGAGCCATGTTGCAGTGCTCTGTGTGTGTTTATATGTAAAGCAGATTAGCCAAAATGCTGAGTTGCTGAGTTCTATTACGCAAACTGCGAACACTCTGCGGATCCCTAAGTGTGCCGGTGTCGGTTGGCATTGGTCGCTGTGATGTTTGGGCTGAAGAAAGCTTATGAAGCTCCCAAACGATCGTCCAGGAGGGAGGAAACATGCCAATCGTGCATGTGTCTCTGCCAGGGTCCTACTCGAGTGTAGGCTGAACTCCTGACATCTTCTACCTAGTTATCAAGCTGTGCATGCTAGGTAAATACCTTGTGTTCTTCTTTCATCACCTGTTCAATGAGGTCAGATTTCGTAGGTGGTTTAGAGTATTGGCCTGAAAGGAGGCCATGTCCCAATTTAGCCCTGTAGTAGAGGGAGGGGGGTAGGGGTGGGGTGGGAGTAGGGAAGGAGAGAGAAAGCACACAAAATGTTTCCCACCAGGCTCAGAGTAGGGAGAAAACAGCAGGAGGGTGAAAGTAAGGCTAAATGTGGCCCATCTGTTAACACACACCCTGAACACACATCCTTACTATGATCCAACTAAGCTTCTTCCCTCTTGGCCCCCCCATTTCAAAAAGCAGCAAGTCATACAAAATAGTGTAGCATTAGCTATGTGGGAGAAAATACTCTCCATACCACATAGCTATGCTTATTACAAACAACAGGACTACTCTGGTGAAAGTCCAGGTCAAATCAAAGACAGCGATCAGATCAAAGTCAATCAAGCACAATCATTTCTCAAATGTCACAGGTGGGTTCCAAAAATAAATTAAATGAAAATTGTAAAGCAGCAATATAAATACTGAACAAACAAAATCAACAAATGCTTGGCACTATCCACAGAATGGAAACAGCTAAAGTCAGCTTTATAATCAATTACATCCTATAAGATAAAGCTACCGTGAATAATTGCCGCTGCAAGCCGTGCCACTAACCAAGTTCAAAAGAAAATCTGTCATTTAATAAGAATGCCAAAAGGCAATTAGTACATTTTCCCCCACGTCCAGAATGGTGTTTGTCTGGGTACCTCATAAAGGTTATTAAAGCAACAAACCATGTGGGCGAAATAACCATTCAGAGAAATCTGCTGCTTAATATAAAACCTGCCACTTACATTTGTGTGTTGAAATCTTGTGTTGGGTCTAGAGGGGAGTAGTCAAATATTCTTGGAAGGTTTCCCACGTACCTATCCAGAGAGAATTGTGGGGGAAGAAGAGAACATTCAAATAGAGCAGATTGTTTTCCATTGACATAATTTGCTGAGGAGACCATTTGCTCCCATACAGTCTTGCCTAGGCCTTAAAATCTACTTCAGAGGTCTTGCTCTTGTTGCCATCTCAATATCCCCACTGTGACAAGAATGAGAGGCCGGGTCTTTTCTATAACAGTGCTGAGGTCCCCAAGTCAAAATCCATCAGTCAGACACCATCTCCATCTCTATTCTGTCAGAAACGGAAGACACCTGACTCAACTGCTGTTGGTTTTTTTCTTTGAACTGGTTACATTGGGTGGTATCCAGTGCTTCCACACTATTGACAGAAGGCATCCGGCAGCAGAACGCGAGAAGGAGGAAATGTTCACCCGTTCCTCCTTCCCATACACTTCCTCAAAATCTGCTCTGGAGGACTGGGGGTCCTTCGGAACAGATTTCGGAGGCAGAGGGGGCTGCAGAGAGGAAGAACAGGAATCACTGGAAGTTCCTTCCCTCCCATTTCGTCAGCAAAGGGGAAGGATTGAATACCACTCATACGGTGTAACGATCTGTCCAATTTGTATATTTATAGTTTTAGTGCTCTGTTTTTATCCTTATTGCTGCAAAGCCACTCTTAAGCACAACAGTAGAAGAGTGGTGTATAAATAAATGAATGCTTATCCTCAAATTTTGGAGGTTAGAATTGTGAGACACCTGCTAGAACTCCACAAGCAATACAGTTCCTTCTGGGAGCAAAACAGCAGTTGAGGATCCTCTGTCTCCCCATCTCCATTTGGCTGAAGGATGGAGTGGATTAGTTCCTAGGACAGCTATGCAGACCCTGTTGCTAGGCAGAGTGTGCAGGAGGAAGGGATTCTAATGAAGAGCCATCCCCTCTGGACAGGGGTCTCTCAGGGGAAGTATTTATATATGCACTCAATAAACAGATGGTTGCTGCAGGGGTGGGAATAGTGGATGAAAGGTACCCCTGCCCGTACGGGCCAGTCGTGTCCGACTCTAGGGTTGTGCGCCCATCTCACTTAAGAGACCGGGAGCCAGCGCTGTCCGGAGACACTTCCGGGTCACGTGGCCAGCGTGACGAAGCTGCTCTGGCGAGCCAGCACCAGCGCAGCGCACAGAAACACCGTTACCTTCCTGCTATAAAGCGGTACCCATTTATCTACTTGCACTTGGGGGTGCTTTCGAACTGCTGGGTGGGCAGGAGCTGGGACCAAAAGACGGGAGCTCACCCCGCCACGGGGATTCGAACCGCCGACCATGCGATCGGCAAGTCCTAGTTTTACCCACAGTGCCACCCGTGTCCTAATGGATGAAGGATCCCTATAAAATCCAGCAAGCTTAGGAGTGCTTTCAAAAAAGGAGAGATGGGAAAAATAAAACATGGGTTGGACATGTAACTATTAGACTCACTTCACATCTAACAAAATATGTAAAGTGAGAATGCAACAACTACATTCACCAAGGGACAGGCATACAGTGGTGCCCCACAAGACGAATGGCTCGCAAGACGGAAAACCCGCTTTGGAGGCGCTTCGCAAGACGAATTTCCCTATGGGCTTGCTTCGCAAGACGAAAATGTCTTCGAGTCTTGCCATTTTTTTCCCGCTTCCCCCCCTTTTTCTAAGCCGCTAAGCCGCTAATAGCCTTTTAGCAACTTAGCCGCTAAGCCTTTAATAGCCGCTAAGCCGCTAAACCGCTAATAGCGCTAATCCGCTTAGCCGCTAATGGGGTTGCTTCGCAAGACGAAAAAACCGCTAGACGAAGAGAATCGCGGAACAGATTCTTTTCGTCTTGCGAGGCACCACTGTACTTCCCAGGAAGTCCCAATTAACCACAGCTCCCTGTTGGGGATAAGCACTGGGGCAGACCTGAAGTCTGCCATTCTGTACTGTAGCGAGCCTTAGTAGTGCAATGAGGAACATAAGAGGTTCTAATCTGGTTGCCGCAAAACTTCCCTAGAACGACTTACGCTCTCTGAAATTCAGGGATGCTGAAAATGGCTTGTAGGACAGTGTTGACATAGCAGCTGTTGCCCAGGTTTTTCATGCCCGTGTATCCTGGACCATACATTGGCTTTAGCTTCATGCCAGACTCTTGGATCACTTCCCATTCAGAGACTCTGGGTTTGATGTCGTTATCTCTAGAGCCATTCTCCGTCTGAATGCAAAAAAAAAAATTAATTTAAAAAGGCTTTTAAGAAGCAGCAGTTTACAAAAGCGTATGTTAAGATCTTATAAAGCAGGTGTATTTAAATAGAAAAAAAGAAGAAAACGCCTGGTTCTGAGAACTTTCCCAAATGAAACACTCAGCAATAAAATAGCTTGCTTTCTGCTTGCTGAGATGCAAATGCAATAATGTCTCCACCTGCTGAATTATCTAAGCAACTGCAATCACAACTTACTCCCACTTTTATAGCCGCAACACAGAAAGATCCACTGCTATAGCCATAAAAAGCTCCCTCGTTTTTCTGTGGAGCTTCACATGCAATATGTGGTTAAAAAAAAATAAAAATGGAGAGTCTGATTTGCAGAGATCTAAACTTAGGGATGCGGGTGGCGCTGTGGGTTAAACCACAGAGCCCAGGACTTGCCGATCAGAAGGTCGGCAGTTTGAATTCCCGCAACGGGGTGAGCTCCCGTTGCTCGGTCCCTGCTCCTGCCAACCTAGCAGTTCGAAAGCACGTCAAAGTACAAGTAGATAAATAGGTACCGCTCTGGTGGGAAGGTAAACGGTGTTTCCATGCGCTGCTCTGGTTCGCCAGAAGCGGCTTAGTCATGCTGGCCACATGACCTGGAAGCTGTACGCCGGCTCCCTCTGCCAATAAAGCGAGATGAGCGCCGCAACCCCAGAGTTGGTCACGACTGGACCTAATGGTCAGGGGTCCCTTTACCTTTTTAAACTTTGCAAAATGAGACTGTACGGTTCAATCCTGGGCAGGAGGGCAAGCGTAGCCTTGGTTTCCAAATACACATATATTGTACATCAGGGTTGGGGAACCTCACGCCAAAGGCAGCATTCCAGGCCTCTGTATGTGGTCCTAAAGTTTACAATCATAATTCCAACCACTTGCAAGCAGCCCCCAAAAGATTCCCCAGAAGGTAATGTGGTCCCTGGGCTGAGAAAGGTTCCCCACTCCCTTCTCACTTCCCACTCTACATGCTCAGAGTCTTACCGAACTCAGAAACAGCCTGGTGTCATTTTATTATAAAAAAAATTCATTCCAGAAGCACCTTAAAGACTAACTAAGTTAGTTCTTGGTATGAGCTTTCGTGTGCATGCACACTTCTTCAGATACAGTGTGCATGCACACGAAAGCTCATACCAAGAACTAACTTAGTTGGTCTTTAAGGTGCTTCTGGAAGGAATTTTTTTTGTTTTGACTATGGCAGACCAACACGGCTACCTATCTGTAACTGTCATTTTATTATGTTATCAGATGCCTTTTAGCATGAGAACATAAACTGAAAAGCAGATTATATATTATAAAAGAAAGAAGGATCTCCCACAAGAATGGAAACTGTGCTTTTCCAATTGAGGCACTGATTTCCCCCGCTATTTTCCATGACTGCTGAAGATACAGATCCTGAATAAAAGGAAAGCCACTTACTACATGCATTTGGAGCATATCAATGCCAAAATGTGCTAAGTGTTTGGCTATGTGTGGGTCCAAAACCGCCTCCTCTTCATCAAAGGAATAGACATCTGCAGAGAAAAGAAGAAAAAGGACTGCTCACCGAGTGTTGCCCATCAGCGTTATTTCACAACAGCATATTCTTGAAGCTTTACCACCTACGTAATACGCCAAGCGATAGTAATTTTGCTGCACACATGCCAGCGCAACTATTAAGCAAATTCTGGACATTCTGTTCGCTACCAAGTTCTCCATGTTAGAATGGTTCCATTGGCAACCAAGAGATCCCTATTCGAAGGTGCCCTTCAGACATTGCTGCAGCAGCTTGGTGTGCCACTCTTCTGTGGCTTCATCCCACATTGCCCAGCCTGCAGCAGGGGCGATTTGGGAGGAGCAGAACAAGGCAACCGGCTCTGTCCTTGTGGCAGTGAGCTTTCAGGTGTTAGAAAGAAGGTCACACCTAAGAGGCAGAATGAATGCTTTCCACACAGTAATTCTCAGGTTCAATCCCTGGAATCTCCAGTTCTTTTAAGGCAGGGGTGCCCAAACTTTTTTCAAAGTGGGCCAGATTTGATGAAGTGAGGGCCGACCATAGTTGTTGACCTTTTTTAGAGCTTTTTTTAGGGTTGAAGTTGTTGAGCTTTTTTTAGGACCAGACACCAATTACCGTATTTTTCGCTCTATAGGACGCACCCGACCGTAGGACGCACCTTGTTTTAGAGGGGGAGAATAAGAAAAAAACATTTCCCCCTCTCTGCGCAGCGCCCCTTCAGCAAAGCAGCAGGAGTAACGGAGCCTCTTCCATTTCTCCTCCTGCTTAGCTGAATGGGCACTGCACCTTAGCTGAAGGGGCATCTACCCTTCAGCGAAAGGAACCCGAAGCCTCCGGAGCGCAGTGGGAGCTCCTGCTGCACTCCGGAGGCTTCAGGCAGCTCTCCAGGCTTCAGTGAAAGCAACGCAAAGCCTACGGAGCGCAGCAGGAGCACTCCCACTGCGCTTCAGAGGCTTCGCATTGCTATCGCTGAAGCCAAGGAGCCTGCATTCACTCCATAAGACGCACACACATTTCCCCATAATTTTTAGAGGGGAAATTGTGCGTCTTATAGAGCGAAAAATATGGTAGCTGCCATAGGGGTCTGGATTAGACGGACTTTGGACATGCCTGTTTTAAGGTATCAGAGGGCAGACTTTCTCTGCCTTGAAATTAGAGTGCTACTGCCAGTCAAGAATAGAAAATGCTGGGCTGCATGAACCAATGGTTTAGTATAAGCTCACTTTGGCTCTATCCACTGGCCAGAGCATCCATTGGCCAGAGAACAAAAAGGCCACTCAGAGGTCGTCTCTTGCCTGAAGAAGAAGGAAGGGTTATGAACCCTGCTCCACTAAACCCAGAGGGATCCTCCCCTCCAGAAATTAAGAGAGACAGGGATTGTGGGATCGCTTTTCTCCACGAAATCAAATCAAGGCAACTGGCACACAGGTGCTCTCTCTTGTTCCTGGTCAGAGTGGCTGCCTACCTGAAAATGAAGAGCCCCTGCCTCCCCACCAGGCTGCAAGTAGCTCCTCTGCCTAAAAAACTGTTAGCTAAAAAGCCAGGGCGCAGCACAGGTCAAGCCCTGCCTTTCAAGAGGAACATAACACAGAAGGGGACGACTGCCTTGTTCCTTCATCAGCAAGAGAAAGAACAGCTGCTGAGAACTTTCCTGCTCCACCTGCCAGGAAGAACACTCTGCTCCAAATGCTACACCCTTGTGCAAATTAATTGAAAAAAAACATCTTTTCTATCTTACTCATAATCCTGTACCCCCAACAAACACAAAAAGTCAGTTGATTGTTATGGTGTTGGAAGCCTGCAGCCAATAGAAGGAATGATGCTCTGGCCACAATATATCGAGGTTCTACAAAAGAGAGTTATTCCAGAGCTGGAAAAGAGGTGTCCTGATGGCACTGGGATATTGCAGCAGGACCTAGCCCCCAGTCACACATAGAAAGTGGTGAAGAAATTCATGACAGAGCAGCAAATACAGGTACTTGATTGGCCAGGGAATTCCCCAGACGTAAAACCTTCATTCAGGCGCTGATTCAAGTGTGGTACAGGGATCCGAAAATCAACAGTGACTGTTCGAAACTAGTAGACTCCATGTCAAACCGTGTTCAAATGCTGCTTAAAAACAGCAGAGGTCATATCCGTTACTAATGTACATATATATGAGTTTTGTACAATAAACTACATTGTTTGTTTCAATTAATTTGCACAAGGGTGTAGTAGCCCTGGGGCAGAAGAACCTGGGACTGCACTTCAGCTATGAAATCTGCTGTCAGAAGATGCAGTAGTGATCACCAACACCATACTGCCTCTAATGCTAGAGGTAGTATGTAATCAGCAGGATTAGTAGCCACTGAGAGGGCAGCTGTGTGGGCTGTTATGTACAAAATAAGAAGGCAAACCCACTCCCCACCCCCCAGGTTCTTGCATAGCCTGCAAGGCGAAAGCAGACAACATTTCCCTTAATGGCACTAGCAGCCCAAGAAGCTAGTAAAAAGGTACGTTGCTTGAGACGAGATGGCCCTTTGGGTCCCTTCCAACTATATAATTCTATGATTCTATGAGGCCTTGCTTTACCAGCAAGTTCGAGGTACCCAGAATTCCATCCAAGAAGTGTGGGGTACAATTGCAAAAGACATCAGCACATGCCAGATGCGCCTCCCCACAAATCCTCAGTTGCTCTCCTCATCCCTGTAAGTAACTTCTTGTGTGCTCCCCCAGACTGAGAGCATGTGCTTACTACACATAGTATTATAGAAGAAGAAGAGAAGAAGAGTTTGGATTTGATATCCCGCTTTATCACTACCCAATGGAGTCTCAAAGCGGCTAACATTCTCCTTTCCCTTCCTCCCCCACAACAAACACTCTGTGAGGTGAGTGGGGCTGAGAGACTTCAGAGAAGTGTGACTGGCCCAAGGTCACCCAGCAGCTGCATGTGGAGGAGCGGGGAAGCGAACCCGGTTCACCAGATTACAAGTCCACCGCTCTTAACCACTACACCACACTGGCATGGTGTGGATATAGGTGGATATAGGTGTGGATCCAAACTTTCCTTTCCTGCCTCTATTTTTCCTCTGCAGACCCCTCTATGCGCACACGCGAACACACCCCACAAAAATATGGTGCTGGGGTTGCAGGAGCCTTGGGAATGGTGTGTGGCATATGGTGTCATGGCTGCAGGAGGTAGGAGCTGGGAGCAATTCCTCCCAAACCCCCAATTGCATGGATGGAGGAGCAACTTAGGATCCAAGCTGTGGCATCTAAACAGGCTGGCAAAGATGTTTTTCTCCATGAAGCAGATCCATTAAGGACTCCTGTGTCTGTTTGTTTATATTTGTTTAACCATCCCCTGCAGGAGGTTGCTGGGCTACCTTATTCCTTGAATCAGGCAGGCATCTCTGGCCTTTGGCAACCTGTCCATGTCTCCTCTTCACTTACAGCACAGTATGGAACCAGTTCATCTGGGTTTTAACTGTAGCGGATTTAATGTTCAGTGTACGTGCGGCAAAACAGAAGGATGAACAAGACAGCGAAGCAGGAGATTAAAGCGCTGCACTTGAATCTGAAAGACCTGCATTCAAAACATACCGTGTGCCTTTGGGGCAAGTCATCTCATAGCTTCCCATCTGCTAAGGAATATATTGCCATCTGCTAATGCTGATATTGCTAATGAGGGTATGTAGTTCAAAGGATTTCCACCAGGGTCATGAGGCAGTCTGATGTAGCCGCCTCGGGTGGTAGAATCCAAGGGGCACCTCCATAGGCACATACCATGGCCAGAGAAGTGGATGCGGTGGCTTCCTGGTTCCAGGGAAATCTCACAAGAGCCCTGCAAAATCACGCAAGAGCTCCATGAGGTTGTGCAGAGCCTCGTGCACCCTTCCCAAGATGCTGGTAAGAGACAGAGTGCCTTGATTACCCAAGATATTGAGAAGGTTGTATGAGGCCTTTGTGTGATCTCGTGGGGCTGTTGCAAAAGCCCACCAGAAGCCAGAACTCCTGAAGAATGAACCCAGAGGCCATAGGCATGCGATCCCGGTAAATGAGGTTTTGGCAGGGGCAGAAAGGTGAGGAACTTCCCATTTTGCCTCAGGCAGTGAAACGGGATAGGCCATCCCTAATTTCCACCCTCTTTATTTGAAAAAACGATAATACGAATGACCTCTTTCTCCATAGGAACAGTGGAAGGAGAAACTTAAAATTAGCTGGAATTTCAGATCTGCTACTGCTGCTAAATCACCTTGTAATCCTAATTTGGGTTCAAAAGCAGCATACTAAGGTTTTAACAGAGCTAAAACTGTGAGCATCATCCAGCCATATAATTTCTGGCCTCCTAAATCCTGCAAGGCAAAAACAGGAGCAGTGTTCCTCTCGATAAGCGTTGCGATGTCCAGCTGATAAAGTCCAGCATTCTCTCCGCCAGTGTCTGCCAAGGGTGACCCTGCTGACATTTATGGATAGGCATGGTGCCCTTCTGCTGCCATTGCATGCCAAAGGAGTCTCTGTTTCCAGGTACATGTTATTGTTCCCCTCTGTAAACAAGAGCTCAGTGTTCTCGTGCTTTTCCAGTTAAGTCACAATGCTGTGCGACACCTGGAAAAAGTTTGTGTGCTTTATCAGAATCACCTTTATCAGAGCCACCTAAATGAACCTTGGGTAACATCCGTAATAGTATTTGAAGCATTTCACTTCAGCTGGAAAAAACATCCATATGGATGTCTGACTAGAGATAAAACAAAACAGGGACAAAACAATAATATTTGAAACCTTAAGTCCATGCAAATAAGCCACTCCGAAGGCCAGCTGAGGTCAACTTTAGAAGTGCTGATAGTCATCTAAGGCAGTGTTTCCCAACCGGTGTTCCGCGGCACACTAGTGTGCCGCGAGACGTTGCCTGGTGTGCCGCGGGAAAAATTTAAAAATTCAAAAGATATCCGGAGAGGCGGCCTTCAGGCGAGTTTTAATTTTAATTTTCCTTCTCCCACTTAATGCCCCACGCTCCCCCGAGCAGCTTGCAGTCCTCGGTAACCACGGCGACCCGAGGGAGGGGAGGGAACAGGGAAGTCGAGGGCGGCGGCGAGCCGCGATGACGTCAGTGGGCCGCGCCGCCTCGCCCTGGCACGGTGTGAGAGCCCCGGCTAGTGGCGCGAGCTTCAGAATAAGTGGGATCCGCGTGCGCGAGACCGAGATCGCAGGTAAGGAGCTCAGCCCTGGGCAGGAGGAAGCGGGGCCGCGCGTGCGGGCCACATCCCCACAGAGAGCGAGCCTCCCCCGGCCCACCACTCCGGGCAGGTCCACTCGCATGAGGGGGCGGCGATGGCGACGGCCGGCAGCTTGCCTGCAATGCCATCCCTCGAGCAGGCGAGGAGCCCGGAGGCTACCAGATGCGAGTCCTCTTTCCCACCCTGCTCGGGAGTCCAGAGCACTTGGTCGCATTCAGGATCTAGAGTGGGGAAGCGGGGCTTGTGTCTGGGCTGGACACATTGGGCTGCCTGTGCCGCTCGACCTGCGGGGAGAAATCAGGGTGGGAGTCACGACCGTGAGGCAGGGCTGCCAAGTGTGGCAGAAGAGGACACGGCCGTCGCACCTGTCCTTAGGTAGGAGCTTCTTCCGTGTCGACCTGCTGCCCTAAAGTCTTGGCTTTTTTCTTGGCTTTTTGGCGGTTGGCACAGAAGGAAGGCAAGGGGGAGGGGGGAAAATTGAAACTTACACTTTCGTGCGTCCCTCCCGGCGTGACGCTGCGCGCTGACGTCACGGGGCTGTAATGGTGGTGTGCCTCGAGATTTTTTTCATGAAACAAGTGTGCCTTTGCCCAAAAAAGGTTGGGAAACACTGATCTAAGGACACTTGGATACAAATCTTTGTTTGCCTTTCATTGCCATTTTACTCCAACTTTTACATTACCTCCATGCCAACTGAGGATTACATTTCATATCTCTGATAAAGAAGGCTCCAAGCCACAAAAGCTTACAACATAATATAATTTGTCAGTCTTTTAAAGTCTTACAAAGATTCTATGTTGTTTTCACAGAAACAGATTAAAAAGCAACCCCTCTGGATATTTTTAAAATTTCTTCTTTTTTCATTTGAGTTTGCATTCAAGGAACCCTGGAAATGCAAACTACACTAATTCCTTTTAGCAGTTATAAGAATGGGATGCAACCGAAGCTTGCAGTTCTCCGCTGAAATCAAAAGATCAATACACTTTAAAATCTGAATTTTTCACAATACTGACTGCAAAATTGTTTCATATTTCCTTTTGTATTTAGGACCCTTTGATATCTAACTGATCACAAATTAGACAAAAAGAAAATATTAAGGATTAGTAAACTGCTCTTGTTTACTGTAGGCAGGAATAAAACACGTTGTCTGGCCTATTGTGTTTTTCGGGGGGGGACACAAAGGGAGCAAAGAGTACACAGAGAACTATTGTCCCTCCTCCCCTCCCTGCTAAAAGAATTGTTTGCAAGGATGAATGATAAAGATTTTAAAGGTAACCTAGGATACTTAAAAGACTACGCGCATGTTTAATTCTCTGCTAAGACTCTGTTCTATTATTAACCAACTGAAATCTGTGCTGTTACGCAAATTCCCACTGCAATATGTCGGTCCCCTTAATAGCCTGCTTTGGCCAAAATATTATGCAGGTGACTCAAGACCAGAGCATTTGATCCCCACCCCACCCCTGGCCAGATGGAAGCCCTCCAGAGCAGTATGTCAATTGTGCATCATGATGGGCACATAAGCCTCATTAGCATCCCTTCCTCTAATAAATTTTGTCCCTATGCCCTCAGTGCACAACCATTAACAATGACAAGAGGCCACTCTGCCCTTTTCAGTCGCAGCCAGAAGTTCCAATGATTTATGTGCTTCCTGACGCTGCATTAATTCTACGGTAAGAGTTTGGGGGTGGAAGGAGAGCTGTAGAGAGCCGCCAGCTGAGCCACAGGGCCCCTGGGAGCCGGGTAACAAAAACGTGGCTATTCTGAAGGGGACTGCAAATCCCTTTGTTCTAAACGTGCAGCCTCCCTCGGATGTGGCACACTCAAGCCAAGCACCAAATCTGTTTTGCCATGGCAATGCTGAAAAGATGAGTTTCCCCGCTTTGGCTAGCTTTGCAGCAAAACCGTGTGCATGGGCAGGAATGAGAATCCTTTGAGTTGCACAACATGGCCTGCCTTTGTTGAGAACAGTCAGATGTGTTCTTCCTTACTGGCCTTTCTGTGCGATTCCAGTATTGTTCGAAGGACGTACCCCATCAACTACAGAACATAGCAAACTCAACGTACAAAACTCTGCTTGGTCATTAGGCCCAGCTCTCCTGCGGCCCAGAGTTGCAATGTAGAAAAGACATTATCCAGGACACTTGTGCATATCCCAGTTCTGTGAGAGTGCAGAATGTTGTATCTCGTCCCGAATTCAGCTTCTGTAAAACCCCTGCTTACTTCCTCATTTTCCTCTTCTGTGATAAAACCAAGAGACAGTGATGATGTGGGCTACCTGATAACAGGTACTCATTTTCCAACTGACTAACCTGCACCATCGGGAGTAATTGTTCCAAGCTTCACTGCTAAGGGATAACCCATCTCCTTATAGTGTTCCAGCGCATGTCCATTTCCTCCACTGCCGTAAAAGAACCACTTTCCGCACAGTACTGACCCATCTGTGAGATTCAGCCAAAGATTCTCCCGCAGGTCGCATTTTGAGCATTTCCAGCCACTGAAAAGCAAGAAACATTCAGGGGTTAGATTGGCAGTACTGGGGAAACATGGGTCTACCTCCAAAACCAGCAAGTGGCGAAGATTCCCAGATTGGATTAACCATAGAGGTCTCCTTGTCAACTGCCAATGGGACAACCACAATCTGCTGCCATCTGAGTAGCCCCACATCACCAATCCTCAAAAACTGCTGTTCTTCATTAACGATAACTGTACGGAGGAAGAAATTCAGTATTGCTCTGTTACAAATGTTTTCTTAACATAAGCGTTTCTGCTTGCCTGAGGAAACAAGCCTCTCCTTCTTATGTTCACTCCTGAGCTGCCTAGAGCCAATTGGGGGCATGCGAGGAGCTCTGTTGTGCAAGGAGAAGTCTACTAGGAGGATCTGTTAGTTGAATCTGGTCCATGGTGCTACCAATATATATATATATACTGTATATATACAGACCAACATAAGAAAAGGAGCACAACAGACATTCAGCTCTAGGAAAACTTACAACCAACATTTCGGTAGTGGGGGAACAAAAAGATGGAAAGGAAGGAACAGGGAGGACTGGGTAAAAAAGGATTAATGTGAGCAAATTGTCCTCCTATACTGAGTATTCAATACAGAACACTCAATACAAACGTGTCAAATAAAGCAGAAAGACCTGCTAACGGTTTAAAACATTGTATATTAAATGTTATAAAACCATATAACGTACTGCAGAGCACTTTAGAATCATTTAATTAACTTTAATGTCCTTTGCGTGAGGCAGATAATGGATTAATGCAGTGTTAATGGGTATGAAGAAAACGTAAATAGCTGCCAACAGGGAACTTAATGGCTGCTGCAGACAGAAAAGGAGAGGAGTGACAGATAAGATGGTTTCTATAAAAGTGTTGTGCTACATATCTATGTGCTATGGGGTGGGGGTGGGGCCCTCCTGGAAGGTCTTACCCGAGAGCTCCTTAGCTATTTCTCTCTATATCACATTATTCTTGGCAAGTGTGGTTGTTCTTTAACCAGGCACCTATCCCAACCACCCATCCCCAAAGGCATCCAATTGGTTAACATGGGATGCAGAAGCTGGGTTAGGTGGGTTCTGGGATCTGTTCCACAGGGCAGTTCTTAGGTAACAAAGTGCAACAGTCTCACCTGGGAGGAATCCTGACTCCATTGTCCATCTGCACAAGAGTGTTGGCATGTTTGGAGACTTGCAGCTCCTCTTCCCACGAATCTGGGTCTTGCTTCCTATAAGGAGATTTCGAACTGAGGACTGCGTCGCAAGCTATCGTAACCTAGAGGGGGGGGGGCAAAGTCAAACTGAACATAAAAGGCAACGTAGAAAACCAAAACCAAAAAACAAAACTATCCCTACGTTATAGTGTTTGCAACCAAGTGCACGAGTAATGATAAGCAATTAGCTTTCATATAGCACTTTAGAATGATCACACTCTTTCCGTAGTCCTCACAAGAGTCCTGCAAGGCAGGTCAAAAGTATCCCTATATTGCAGAGGAGGGGTGTTAAGACTAAAAGACAACATATTGCCCAAGGCCATCAAGTGAGTTCAAGGCTGAGTCAAGATCTTAGTAAAGGACTCAGCCATGCAACACATACACTCTCGGCCATTATATTCCACTGCTCTACCAAAATATAAGGATCTGCCTTAAAAACCTACTTAAGCTCAGCGTGGCCTATTCCAGCAGTTCTCCAAGGTCCCACAAATAGGTCTTTCCCAGGCTTGGCACCCATGATCCTTTAAGAGTGAAAATTAAATCAGTTTAAATCCCATTCTTTGTCTGTTACCCACACTTACCAAAGCTGGCAACTCTTCTATGTTGGGTAAAGGAATTTCAAAGTGGTCTGGAAATATGACAAGTTTAGCTTCATCCTCAAATTCATAATCATCGTTGTTTAAATCACCATTGGATTCTAGGTCTGCAAGAGGGAGAGAAGAGAGAGAAAACTCAGAGCATTAAAATGATCACAGGTAAAGATGCTAGACTTACACCAGGCTTTGCTTGGGGAATTCCCAGGCACCTAGTTGCTCAAGTTAACACTTTTAAATCAATTAGCAGTACAACAATAGTTCAAATGTTAATTCAATAAACCATGTACTCTCAGGCAATATTTTCTCTCTCTCTTTAATTAGGCCTCTTGAGGAAAATGTCAGTTTTTTTTAAAATGACAGCTTGTTTATTCAGTACATTCCAACCTTTCTTCCTAGGAGGTCAAGGCTATGTATGTGGTTCTCTCCCACCCACATGTACCCAAACTGTAAAATTTTATTTATTCATTTCATGAATATATATGGGGATGTATATATACAACACTTAATACCAAGGCAGCCTCTTGGCTTGCTGGAGGAGAGGGCTGGAGTGAGAGAGAAACACCTGGAAGACTTCAGCATATTTTCTGAGCTTATGTTTCTTTCTCCCACCCGTCAGGTATGTACTTATGGGAGCCATCGCCCAGAGGTGCAAACCAAGGTTTCATCCATCAGCCAAGCAATCCCTGTTGGCCCTAAACAGTGAAGACTTCTGGTTCCAGTTGTGGGTGGCTGTTTTAGTATAGCTGGTGCAATGGTTTGTGAACTGGACATTTTAAACTATTGATTTTTTACTGTATTGTTTATATTGGCTGTTTTCGACTGTACACCCTTTAGGGTAGAATTCTTATTCTGGCTGTGTACAGCCCCCTGTACACTGATGTAATATATAAACAAATATATAAACAAATGTTTATATATTTTATATATTTGCATATAAACAAATGTTAACAAATAAGCTGGTTACAACAATACAATATGCCTATCTATAAATACTGAGACTGATAAACTACAATACCAAACAAAATTTAGAATCCACAAAAAGAAAAAAAAACATGGCATCACATTGCGAAACATCTTAAGCGCCAGGGATCCCTCCCCTCTTGCCAAGGCCTGACTCGCAACATGCAGCACTCAGCCCCACCCACACAAACACATCATATCCAGAATCCCTCTTAAGGTAAAGATAAAGGGACCCCTAACCATTAGGTCCAGTCGTGACCGACTCTGGGGTTGTGGCGCTCATCTCGCTTTATTGGCCAAGGGAGCCAGCGTACAGCTTCCGGGTCATGTGGCCAGCATGACTAAGCCGCTTCAGGCGAACCAGAGCAGCACACGGAAATGCCGTTTACCTTCCCGCCAGAGTGGTACCTATTTATCTACTTGCACTCTGACGTGCTTTCGAACTGCTACGTTGGCAGGAGCAGGGACCGAGCAACGGGAGCTCACCCCATTGCAGGGATTCGAACCGCCAACCTTCTGATCGGCAAGTCCTAGGCTCTGTGGTTTAACCCACAGCACCACCTGCATCCCTGAGCAGCGCTCAGCCCTACCCACACAAACACATAATATCTAGAATCCCTCTTAAATACTACTAATTTTCCTACGGCAAAAGCACATATCAGACAATACTCACAAGCTCATCCAATGTCACTCTTCCTGCCAATGAACACCAAACACTCCAATATATCTGTCAATCCCCAGGCTACAGTCATTCATCGCTCCATTCACTCTGCTAGTAAATGTGCTGCAAAAACAGTACATTCAGTTTGGGTTTCCCCAATACCAGTTCAACACGAACCATGCAGATGCTCAAGGTCAGTTCTCTCCTTTGCCCACTCTGCCAACCACCCCTTTCCTATACCCCCCCAGGCTCTCCTACATACAGTGGTACCTTGTGTTATGTACCATCCCCCTTACAAATGCTGCGGGTTATGCGCTCCGCTAACCCGGAAGTAGATGGCCCTTGTTGCAACCTTTGTCCCGGGATGAAAGGGAAGTCGCGCTCCGGCGGCACGGCAGCAGCAAGAGGCACCATTAGTGAAAGCGCGCCTCATGTTATGAGCGGTTTCGGGTTACAAACGGACCTCCAGAACGGATTAAGTTTGTAACAACAGGTACCACTGTATAGGCACTTTGGAAACATCCATTGCGTGGCAAGGCCCTGAACTCTCCCCCTTAGCTGGAATAAAGACACTTGACTCAAGTATTTTAGGTGAATGGGCTAAAAAAAGGCCACAACTTTATTGGTTACAGAATGTGAGTGGTATTGGGTTAGGCATTGGAACCAAACCGACTATATCTGACTCCTGACTGCCTACGGGAAGTCTCAGAAGGGTTAACCACCAGTAGGGGGAGCCCTGTTGATGCACATCAACTAGGAACTCCCCCCCCCCCCGGCCGAGGGTCACCAATACAGCCAGGGGTCGTGCCATGGCTATACCAGGAATCAGTCTTAGGCTTCTTCCAAGATCACAAAGGCTGCAACAACTCCAACCAGATGCAACCAGAGTAATAACCATGGCTCTCTCCCAGTTCACACTCATTGATTGAATTTCAATTCAGTCCTTCACCTGAGGCTCACGGAGTGGTTCACAATATAAAAACACCAAGTACGTAACACAGTAACAATCAAAAGCCAATTTTAAAAACCCACAGTTTAAAAGACCATAGATTGTTTAGTTCGCCAACGGCCCATTCCCATACACAGGTGGAAAATCAGAGAGGAAGTCCCCAGCTCACATGTAGGAAAGGATGCTCAATCAATTATTGGGAAACGCAATTACAGAATCTTCTCCCAATTGCTAAAACTAATCATATTTATTTTAGGCAAAAGGTAATGATGAAACACTATACCTAATAGAACAAATATCTCCCACAATTCAACACTTACATGCAAAGCGGAAAGTATATACAAGTGTGTATACACTTTAAAAAAATGTTTTTATTAATGATTTTATTAATGATTTGAGTTGAATTAGTTTTATAATGGAATGATTTTAGAATGTTGTACTATTTTATTGTTGTTAGCCGCCCTGAGCCCAGCTTCGGCTGTGGAGTGCGGGATATAAATTATTATTATTATTATTATTATTATTATTATTATTATTATTTACTTGGGTTTCAAAAGTACATACATTGTCTCAGTTTTCAGATCAAGAAGTGCTTTTTATAGATCAGTTATATTTGATGTGAGACTTTAATGTTGTATACAGTATAAGATTGGGGAAGAAGGGGTCGAGAAGGCGGGTAGTAAACTTTCCTTCTTTTAGAGAGAGGAGATCCTGAGCTTCAGTGTCTAGACTGAAAGGCACAGCCTGCCTCCTAATCCTAGGTGTTGAGTCAGGCTGTGATTTAGGGCTGTGGGTGAGACAAAAGACAAAGAAATAACAAAATCTGTACTTGCTCAGAAGTACTCTCAGTCTCACGCCTGCCATTGCGAAGAGAGTTTCTGGGTCTAAGCCCTGGTGATACTAAACAGAAAACAATTCTGCCATGGAGGAAATAATAGCATTATGTTGTGTAATTGGGGGGGGGGGGTCCTTCACAACACAAACTGAGTCATCTAGTCCAGGGGGCTGCAACCTTTAAGACAAAAAGATCCACTTGGATCCGTTTCCGAAGAAAGAAAGAAACTGGGAGCCGCAAAACCATTGCAACATTTAAAACAAATATATCTCCGGAGCCGCGATCTGACAGCGGGTGGGAAGGTGACATCGGGACGGTGCGTGACTAACGCACGCACCGCCCCCATGCGACGTCACAGCCAGTACAGTGCCCGCCACAGTGGGGAGTGTCGGGGCGCACAATGCGCCTCCTCCCCTCGCTAGTATCCGCCCCGGAGCCCCGGCAAAGGTGTAAAAGAGCCACATGTGGCTCCGGAGCCGCGGGTTGCAGACCCCTGATCTAGTTTGACCCTCTAATTCACACACAATTCCAAATAAGCTGCCAAAAATTCAGACACCTGAATTACATGCACACCCCTTCATGAACAATCTCAGATTTAAAGTATGGAATGAGCTGTATGTGGTCAATTTACCCAGAGGAACAAAAAACTTTGAGACTGCAGACCCTTTCCCTTGCCTTCCACACATTGTTTGACCTAAAAGAAGGGGAAAGATGAGATTGCTCTCTGCAGCAAGCTCTTTTCAATCACAATGGCCAATATTTTTATTTCTTCACTTCATTAACCACTGAGGACAATTCATTATTGGCATAACGCACCCATTATAAAATGTGGGTCCATTCCAAATGGAAGCATGGGAATTTCACCTACTTAAAGTCAGAATACTTTCCAATAACTGAATGTTAATTACTTTGCTGGCAAGAATGACCCCCATCAGGAAGTGAAGCAATGACCTGGAGTTGAAAGGTTCTATTATTTCAGTCAACTAACTAATCCCTTGAATTACCTAGCAATTATGGGAAATTAGGATCTTGGTCTTCAAGTCTCAAGCAGCATTTCAGTTATTTTATAAATGCTACAGCGTTGTCCCTTCTGACAATTTACGAGTCAATAAGTCCAATGGAAACAAGTGCTGCATATGGAACTCCTGGGTTCAAGTATTTATTCAATGCAAGCAACTATTTCCTGGACCGGATGAGTTTAAGCAATGAGAAGAAGAAGAAGAAGAAGAGTTTGGATTTGATATCCCGCCTTTCACTCCCTTTAAGGAGTCTCAAAGCGGCTAACATCCTCCTTTCCCTTCCTCCCCCACAACAAACACTCTGTGAGGTGAGTGGGGCTGAGAGACTTCAAAGAAGTGTGACTGGCCCAAGGTCACCCAGCAGGTGCATGTGGAGGAGCGGAGACTCGAACCCGGTTTCCCAGATTATGAGACTACCGCTCTTAACCACTACACCACACTGGCTTAATGATCTCTTTCACAGGGTTCTTTTAGAAGGAAACATAAAACTTATACAATATAGTTTTAATCATGCTAAATGTGCTAGGGAAATAAGACATTCATTGAGGAAAAGCTGTATCAAGTTTCAGGAAGCAGGCCACATATTTGGAATTGACAAAAGTGCTTTTAAAATTCTACAATATTTCAGTACTAGAAAAATTCCTGGTGGCCAGCCACGCAGGTGACTAGTAATCTAAAACCTA